TAGACCCATGGACAGGAGTCAAACCGCCAAGGGCTAGGGTCGTCGACCTCTTCTTTTGAGCTTTATGTCAAGCCACGATGAACTACGTCACTTCTCTCACTTATAGGGATGACTATTGTAGAATGTTTGATGTCTGGTCCCGGATTACCAATATCAGGCAACGGTGGATTACATTCGGCGCCTTCCTCATCTCTAGACGTTTGATCGATCAAACAACGGTCTCCCAAAGTGGTCGCCATCAGATCAGAATGAACAATTAATGGCCAGTGAAATATTGAAATCGACAATGAGATTGAATAAACGACATGCGACAAGTTCGGAAATCGCCCCTTTGGGCTGGCTCTGTTGCATGACTTGTCTCAATCAAGCGACCTTATGGTCTCTCTCTTCATGCGTTTAGGCAGTGCTGTCACAAAGATGATGATGCATTTGGCGATGTACAAACAATGCCAAGGGGCAGTTAGCCGCCGAAGAAACAACCCCTATCATTTATTGGCTCTGTAGGGTGGTGGCCTGGCCAATGGTCTCTCACGGCTGTCACAGTCATCACAGCTTTCGCGCGCGCAACAAGTTCTACCCCTGTCAATCGGTGTCAACCAAAAATAGAAGCCCACGATTTTCTCCCTCATTGGTTCTTTGAGGTTATTAGCTGTTCGGTAGCGGGGACCAACCGACCTAGCGACCGGGAATCGATGCCACCTTGATGCAACCTCTTCCTGTCTTGTATACCGCCAACACAGACCTCACCTTGCTCTCGCAGCCTTATGTGCCAGTCAGCTTCTTCAACGCGATATTGGCGCTCTGATGGCCCCCGCCTCCGCCACACATCATTCAGTGGATGTCTGCCGATGCATCGGCCCACCTGAGCTACAGTACGGTGGCCGGCGTGCTACTGCAAGTGCAGTGCGTGCCGCCCAACCCAACTCGTTATGAGCCCACACTTTGGATAGCCGCTCTAGCGAGCCTTGATGATCCTGAGCAAGACTAGTCTAGCCTTCGGGCTTTAAGACTTTGACACTCCCCGGCCAGAAGCCTGGCCTTCCTCGTCTACATTCACTTCTTACCATCTTCAGCCTTCCGTGCTGTATCACTTCACAGATCCGTATAGAGCCTCGTTGATCGAAGCATCCTGTCGTTTTACACAACTTAATACTGACGCAGGCCGTCCCCCATTATTCACACTAACAGTAATACAATCAGCCTGTTTGTTGCGTTAAGCCCTTGGGCTATTGTCAGATATCAGGAATAGCTGATATATATACGCAACATGGCCGACACACAAAACCGATATTACCCCCTGGACTCTTCGCTGGCTCGGAAGCACAGGGGGAGGCTTAATCCTATAATCGAGGAGGATAGTGACGATGGTATGACCCAGAACGGAGGTCGCAGACTAAGACGAACCGGCAATGCTCAACTCAAGATCGAGGCTTGGTTGACACCGATGAGCGATCACTTCCCGACACCAAGGGGGATGCATTATCTCTCCGCTCCGGTTCTACCATCTTCACCCTCAGCTGACTCGGCTACCGACACTTCGCCAACAACCTCCAGCAATCCCTGGAACCGCCAAAGTATTGCCACCGAGGCCACCGAGTTTGAGGACCTCTACGATGTGACGGATGATGAGGATGATATGGTCCGGAGAAGGGCATCTGCTAAGTCGAGGCAGGCCCCGACAAAGCAGCCCACTCCGCTTGTCATTCCAGCAACCCGCGACAATTCTGTCGAGTCGTGGTCTGCTGTGGATAACATGAAGAAGTCTCTGACTTCACCAGTCCCTTTGACTCCATCCGTCAAACTCACCATGTCGCCCGCTCAGATGGAGTTCATGCACGAACAGCACGCCGTACCAACACCAACAATGTCAGCACCTCCGTCCCTGGATGGCAGCTTGACTTCAGAGCAGCTCGCGGCAATGAGCGCACCGCCCACGCCCATCATTGGTAATGAGGAATCAGTTACGGATGATGCTTGGGCTGGCGTCCAGCTCCAGCCTGGTGCCCTGGCTACTCTTCAAGCCCTTGCAAGCGGCGAGGAAAACCCCCATGAGCAGCCATATCAGGTCCTCGAGGTTCCCGAGCAACAGCCTGCGCACCAAATTGTTGAGATGCGACAACAACCACTGCGACTCATTACTAGTTTTCAGCCGCAGTCCACTATCAACAGGGCTTTCTCTCCCAACACAAACCGTCAGTCTCTGGCCGACTTGACCAAGCTTGATATCCCCTCTCCAGGCGGATTTTTCTCTGGTCTGTCTCCACGAACCCGCAACACATGGCACATGCCCTCCAAGTCTCCTGAGGACATGCCACCGCCTACATCGACCACTGCCGAGCAGTTCTACCGATGCCCCTGGAACGCAGATGTTTCTGCTCCCTCTGTTCCCAAGCGCAAGGACTTCGTCGAGGACTTTTACCGTAACGTCAGATTCACCCCCGCTCCTACCGAGCCCATCGTTGAACAGGTAGTTGAGCTTAAGGAGGAGGACGACTTCTCAGATGATATGCCCACTGCTCGCCCAGTTTTTGAGCACAAGACCGCCCCTTCCACTGTCGAGTCTGCCGCCGCTCCTGCTTCTCCTCAAGCCGAAGATGTCCCTACTGAGATTGTCGTTGATTACGATCCCGACTATGCTCGCAAACAACAAAAGGAGGCACTCTCTCACTTTGACCGTACTGAGCTCTGGCTCATGGCCCAACGATCTTACCTTCGCGGTGTCCAGGATGACACTTCTGAGGATGATGGTGGTCTCAACACTATTGCTGAGGAGGCCGAAGAAGAGGTCGAGCCCTCCATGGTTCAGAGCGGGCTCCCTCCCCTTAAGGTCCAGCCTGAGCAGTCCATTGCTCCCCTCAAGAAGAGTGTTCGCTTTTCCAACCTGGTCTCGACATCTGATCACCCCAAGCGTCTGCCTTCCATGCTCGTCCGCCGTGAGTCTGCCTACTACCGAGCATTCCAAGACTACATCATTCGCATCCAGCGCCAAGATGTGTTTGTTCACCAGCTCGCTCGCTTTGAGGCCATCCAGGCCCAACGCGTTTCTCTCCGAGAATCCCACCGTAACCAGCTTCTCGGCAAGTACCAGCTCAGTGTTGTTCCCCAATCCGCCAAGAAGCGACTTAGTGCCAACGTTGCTCGCGGTGATGACACCATCGTTGATGATCCCGAGAAGCTCCGACATGAGAAGGAGGTCGAGGCCATGAACCAGATGACCGTTGCTGCCTGGCACGTTGCCGCTATGAAGATGCTCAACGGTGGACGCCTGATCTCTGCTCCAGTGACCAAGAGACTTGCTCGTCTCTCTCGCGCTGCTCCCAACAAGAGCGGCGTTGTCCGCGAGCGCGCCAGGGTTCTCGATCTTGGTGGACAGACCACCTGCGACTGGGCGTGGCACTGCGCGCTCCAGTTCCCCAACACCAAGGTTTACACCGTCACCACCAAGTCTATTCGTCAACTCTCCAACTGTAACGTCCGCGGTCCTCCCAACCACCGTCAAGTCGCCGTTGAGAAGTTCTCTCGCCTCCCCTTTGCGGACAACCAGTTTGATCTCATTTCTGCTCGAGAACTTCACAGCATCCTCAAGCTCTTTGGCGAGAACGGTGAAGATGAGTGGGACACTTGCCTCAAGGAGTGCATGCGTGTCCTCAAGCCTGGCGGCTACCTCGACTTTTCCCTTCTTGACTCAGACATCATCAACGCTGGTCCCGTCGGACTAGCCAAGAGCGTCGAGTTCGGTTTTGCTCTCAAGACTCTGGGATATGATCCCAACCCCACCAAGCTCTGGCTTGCCCGTTTAGCCCGCGCCGGCTTCCAAGATACTCGTCGCATCTGGATGTGTCTTCCAATGGGCGCCAGGCGAAGCATGTACAAGCCCCCCACTCCTCCCATGAAGGATAGCCCCGATGGACAGGACGTCAAGACCTGTCAGATGGACGCCATGGTGATGGGAAGCAGTGATGACATTGCCAGCGCTTGTAGTATTGCTGGCGGTTGGAACTGGGAGCGATGGCTCCTCCGCTGTGAGATGGAAAAGGTTGCTGGTGAGCTGCGACTCGCCGATACCACCACTACTGGAACTGCCATGGAAGAGGCTGGCAAGTGTCTAGATGGTGTCGCCGCTGTATTCGAGGAAGGCCGAAACTGCAAGTCCGGCTTCCGAATGCTCAACGGTTATGCCCAGAAGCCCAAGGCTGGCACCGAGACCATCAAGATTGCTCTCCGCGAGTGATCTGTGATGTATAAAGAAATTATTTTTCCTTTGTCAATAAGCGCGAGAAATTTCACAGATATAGATGAAATTTTGCTTTTGGAATTCGTATATACGAAAAGATACAGAACAATTAAGTATGAAGGGATGACGGGATGCGTGAACGCCGCTTTCACGTATAATGGGTATCAGGTTAGGCTGCATGTGTTTGGCGAATGGGGTTTATCCATGTTGTGTACTTACAGATACCATTGTAAATAGTGCAGAACATGATGTTCTGGTTTCCCTTGACGGGAGAAATTTCCTTTGTATGAAATATCTATTCAACCAATATTCGTTGGAGTGTGACTGGTGACTGGTGATGAAAGTTGCCAAGGCAAGTATTATAAGATTGACTCGTACTGTCTTTGACTGGATTTCGTATATACATTCATCTTCGACTGGCTTTTGGGCTATCCGTCCATTACTTCAAGCACTTTCATAATTATCAACAGACTCTAGTGTTCTTTAAATGACATTATGAAAAATCATAGTAAATAACATGACTTTTGAGGTATCTCGTGTCTTCAAAAGGCAAGAGGCGATTGGATAAATGCTGATTCTAAAACGGGAAAGGTCGGGCGGGCAAAAAGAGGGGACCCACATAGCCGACAGCTTCAATCGCAGCTCCATGACCCATCACCATCATTGACGACTACACGGACGCCTAGGAAAAAAGCATCACCACCCTCGTCGGCATCCTACTTCGATTCGACTCGTCCACTCTCGCTCCGAAAACCTAAACTTTACAATGTCGAACAACAACTGGCAAGAGGAGGCCATGCGCCGTCTCCGACAGATGCAGCAAGCTCGTGGTGGTGGTGGAGGAGGCCCTCAGATGCCCCGAGCAGCCGGTGGTGCCCTTGCTGGTGGTCTTTTGCTCGCCGGTGGTGCTCTGTTTCTGTCGAACTCGCTTTTCAACGTCGATGGTGGCCAACGAGCCATCAAGTACCAGAGATTGACTGGTGTCAGCAAGGAGATCTATAACGAAGGTACAAAAACAATTATATCGGACGATCCGGCTCAGAGACTGACATGGGAAAATTATAGGAACACACATCAACATTCCTTGGTTTGAGACTCCTATTGTGTACGATGTCCGAGCAAAGCCACGCAACGTTGCGTCCTTGACCGGCACCAAGGACTTGCAGATGGTCAATATCACCTGCCGTGTGCTTTCACGTCCCCAGATCGATGCTCTGCCCCAGATCTACCGAACACTAGGTACCGACTACGATGAGCGTGTGCTGCCCTCTATTGTCAACGAGGTTCTCAAGAGTGTTGTTGCTCAATTCAATGCCAGTCAGCTCATTACACAGCGAGAGAACGTCGCCAGACTGGTGCGAGAGAACCTTGCTCGACGAGCTGCCCGCTTCAACATTCTTCTTGATGATGTCTCTCTAACTGTATGTTCTAATCTTGCAAGCTCAATTTGAACTTCTGGCTAATCTGCGACAGCACCTCGCCTTCTCCCCCGAATTCACTGCCGCTGTTGAGGCTAAGCAGGTTGCCCAACAAGAGGCCCAGCGAGCCGCCTTTGTTGTCGACAAGGCACGACAGGAGAAGCAGGCCATGGTTGTCAAGGCACAGGGTGAGGCCCGCTCTGCTGAACTGATTGGTGAGGCCATCAAGAAGAACAAGGCCTACCTGGAGCTCAAGAAGATTGAGAACGCTCGACAGATCGCTGCTCAGCTTCAGGAGGCTGGCTCCAAGAACAGGCTGATGCTTGATTCCGAGGGTCTGGGTCTCAATGTTTTCGACAGAAACGATAAGAGCTAAACGGATAATTGACGGGCGAGCTGTGGAAGATGAAAAGAGGTGTTTATTAGGTTTAATGTAACTCTCCACTGTATGTCTACCTACCGAAAGGGTTGTACTATTATGAATAATGAGGTAGTAAAAGAAAACTACCTATTCTGCTCTGCTGTAAATTGGTCACGTTTGGAATGTTCAACTACTAGCGAATAATGTACTACATAAACAGGGCCAGTCAATCACGTCGAGACCAGACTGGATGCCCATGCATTAGTGAATAAAGACATTTATAAATGTTAGTGAAGCCTCATGAAAATCATAACATAAAAAAGCACCAATAGTATCTGAAGTATGTAGGCAGTCGAGGCAACCGCCATCCCCAGTACCAGAGTGGCCCCTCCTTCCGTGAATGTTAGCCTAGAACCCCACCATCGATCCGAGCTCAGTCAGCCCAACAGCGTCCAGCATTCAGACTTTCCCATCAGCCTCCTATACTCGAAACCTGCACGACAGTCTTCTTCTCTCTTCTTCACGAATTACAATAGGAACCCCCCGAACACATTAGACCCAAATACCATACCACAACCGCAAACATGTTGATCAAGTACGTCACCGAAACTTCGACGTCATGCAGGCACGCGGCTAACTTTGCGATTCAACAGGGTCCGAACATTGACTGGCAAGGAGATTGAGCTCGATATTGAGTCAGAGTACAAGGTAATATTGGGCGGGCGTTTCATACTTGGAGTGGACGAGATGCATGGGCTTATACTGACTGCTTGCAGGTCTCGCAAATCAAGGAGAAGGTTGAGGAGAAGGAGGGTATCCCGCCTGTTCAGCAACGACTCATCCATGGCGGCAAGCAAATGTACGTTACAAACAACCACTCGCAAATACTCACCAGCCTACTGACTTGCCTTGCCCAGGACCGACGACAAGACCGCTGCCGAATACAACCTCGTTGCCGGAGACACTCTGCATCTCGTCCTCGCCCTTAGAGGTGGACGATGGCTAGCATAGATAGTATCTAACGATAATTTGAACTGTCAAGGCAGTTCATATTTCCTAGCATAGGGCATTCACTACGAGAGTTTAAGGATCATATATACCAAGGGAGGACGCACGAACACACGCAATATACACCAGCCGTCGAACCAGAGGAGTCACGATATCGAGTCAGCTGGATGCTAAGGATGCGCAGAACGCTCTTGCCAGAAATCGACACTATTTAGAAGATATACGCAAGATGGGAATACTATAAAACGATCGAGTGGTTGCCATTCAAGTTCTATAAAGCCTCACTGCCATGTTTGTGTTCTTTGCCGCCATCACTGCACACAAGTCGCCCGCTGAGATAGGGGTCTATGCCCAGTCTAATTCATGTGGATTACTGTGAAATCCTAGTCCTATTCTTGCTTGATGTGCCAACCCTCGAATTTGTTTCTCGGCCTTTGAAATCACTCGTTATAACTCGTACGCCAGCCAGTAATGCAACAAAGATGCATAGTCTCTCGCTCGGTAAAAACGCCCCAGCATACTGCCATCAATGCGGTTGAAAATAAAACAGATAAATCAAAAAGAAACTGCCCTCGGGGCTTTATGCCCTTCTTTTGGGCTTGTGAAAGATATCAGTGCCCTTGCGCTTCCGCGGGTTGACGGTAGAAGGAGGTCGTGCGACAGATGTGGGTGGGGGGGGCGAAGAAGCCGGGCCAGGCTCAGGTGAAGAGGACAGGACACCCCCTTCGGGGCTAGGGGATCTTTTCCCCTGTTTTACTGGTCGCGATGACCGAGGCTGTGAAGGTGTTGCAGCGGCCTGAGGTTTAGGACCTTTATAACTGTTGGACAGAAGACCAGATCGCTTGACATTGGTCGCTGGTCTGCTTGGAACAGATGAAGAAGGACGGGAGGCGACCTTTCGAGGAGGTGAAGGATCGTCGTCAAACAAATCATCACCACCACCATCATCGTCATCATCCGAGTCCGAGATGTATTGCGCTCGCTTCTCATGAGCTTCGACTAGCTCAGACGGTGTTGGCTTCGAAGAGGCCCGAATTGCTGGCTGAGACGCTCTCTGGTAGTCATTAACCATAGCAGCAGGCGCCTTGTGAAGTTTCGTAATGGCGTTCGATGCCTGTGTCGGTCTCGACAATTTGCCATGGATACTCGCGATTTCCTTCGTCTCCCTTCGCACCTTGCGCATAACGCTCGCGCCGTTATTGGTCTTTGTGCGACTACCCCTTGTGAAAGCGAGTGTGCTGCCGTTGGGGTCCCGTGCGCCAAATCCCCAGGGTTTCTTTGGTCCGACCCTGCCCCCCTGAGGCAGTAGCCTCCTATCGTCGACAATCATGGTTTTGGTCTTGGCCCTGTCCTGCTGAAGTCCTTTGAATGCGTCCTTGAGCTTGGCCTCACTCTCGTCGAGGGCTTTCTGGTGATCTTTTTTGTACTTATTGTAGACTCGATACCACTCTGTTGGGTTGGAGGGTTTGTATGCCTTTTGTTTGAACTCCATTGGGAACTCGTTCTTGATGATCTTGAGCCATACCTCGGCAGTCTCGCCTTGGATTTGCGGAGAGTTGAGTTCGATGTTGCGTAGTTGTTTGGGGTTGTCGATCTTTAGGAGAAGGCTACGGACGGTTTCATAGAGAAGAAAGTTGCCAACGCTTTCAAGTGAGCGGATGTTCTTTATACATGCCGCGGTGGCAAGCTCAGCGAGAGACTTGGGTGGCATATTGATTATGGGGTTTCGATTCGAGTATTGGTTTCGATTAGTTGTGATGTTATAAGCGGAGGCTATGTCACGCTGCTGATTGAAGGGTTATGGCGAGTGCTGGAGCGGCGCCAGAAATGAGAGAGTAGGGTTGTAAGAATGGACCAAGCTGTGAGAGAAAGGAGAGTGATTAGATGTAGGAATCAGCGATATAGTTGACAAGCATGGTTGTGCAGGTTATCAACACATTGCTAATTGAAATCTTGAAAGACTTTGTTGTTAATAAAAGGTTGTCAGAAGTCGAAAGGATGGGAAGTTGTTGGAGGCTGAGCCACGACGTAGTTGTCGAGGATGTAATAGGCGAGACGTCTTTTTGGCTATGGGGTGCAGCTTGGGGAGCATAGGTCTTTACTCTATTGGTTCAAGTGCAGGATGACTTGAGAGAAACAAAGAGGATCTGCACAGAGATGACACAAACCAGCGTGAAACATAAGTGGGAACTAGAGGTTTATATGTTGCAATATTTTATTCAGAGTTACGTATCCACTCAAATAAGTTGAGTTATTTTAGTAGCTTTAGATGATCTCCACTTAAAGACATGGTCCATGCATATGTTCTCGGGCTTTGTAGGCTTCCATGTAGCGAGTGAGTCCTACTCTTTCGCTATCTAAAATTGCTACCCTGTAGCTATACGTTTTAATTGTTCTTCACGTTGCAATATCAGCTATTTTAATATTGCAGTGGGGATTGAATTGAAAGAAATATAAAAGTGTGGTTTCTCTTGAAATAGGCAGTTGCATTTTTGTTATTTATTTTTTTAATGTTTAACTGTAAGGTGTGGAGTTGCTCTTTGGAGGTCAAGGTTATGACAAAGTACAAACCAAGACAGGGCCCCGTTTTGGTACATTTTTAGCTCCCACTGCCTGTAGTACACTCTCTCTACCTATCTCTCTCTACGTTGTATCTCTTTCTGCACGCGCCCGTCACCAACCACAAACTTACCTCCCACATCAACCAACCATGGCCGAACCATACATCAAGCAAGACCCTCACATCAAGCCTGATCCCGATGCACCAGCCGAGGAGGATCTATATGAAGACGCTGGCGACCTCGAGTTTTACGACAAGAATGCTGGCGCTTTCGAGACGCTTTATCTAGCGCGCGTTCCTCGATACATGTGGGAAGCTTGGTACAAGCTCACTGAGCGACTGGGCGACGACGACGAGATTCAAATTGGCACTTTGCGAACATGGACCGACCAAAAGCCAGATGGCACTTCGGACGTATGTTCTTTACCCAGGCAGGCAAGGAAGGCATGATGATGGCATCATACTGACACACGAATAGACCAAACTTCGCATGCTTCTTTCTTCCAACTGCCCCGAGCACCAAGTGCTGCCTCGCGAATACGACCTCGAAGTCCTAGAGCCTAACGTCAACAATCACTTTATCTTCAGCGAGGAGGATTTGCCCGGTTTCAAGGCGCGGAGCAAGGCGCGACAAGATGCTGCCGCCGCCGGCATTCCCGCCTCATTGCTAAGGCAGAAACAAGCCAACAACAGCAATGGACCAGACAAACCGACTTATGACCGCAGGAGCCGATACCAGCCATATTATCGAAAAGCGGTTCCCAGTAAGTGCAGCCGTGGATGCTTTGCGATAGACCAGAGAGTGGATGGCTAACCTATCACGACAGAAAGGACAAAGATCTTTGGCAAGATTCATTATGATGTTCGCGTGGAACCTCGCGACATCAGGGAAGAGGAGCGACTACTTCAGCAGAAGTTGCTAGACGCAGAGGCAAACAAGTCCAAGCTCCGAATCATCAGCCGAAACGCAGCCTCATCCATTGTCGCTCCTGGAAGCGCAGGCGCAGTCAGCTGGGGTGGCAGCTTCATCGTAAGCTTTTCTCGCTCTTTGATTCCATTTCAAGCATATTGACAAATCTCCTAGAAAAACACAGCATCTACAGCAAAGCCAAAGAAGGGCGAGGTGTTCAAGGCCGCCCGTATCCCAGAAAACCAGCTTCTGGATCTTATTTTCGAGTGTTTCAGGCAGTATCAGTATTGGTCTATGAAGGCGTTGCGTCAGAAGCTCCAACAGCCTGACCAATACTTACGTCAAGTGCTTGAGAAGATTGCCGTCCTCAACAAGAGCGGTCGATTTGCCAACCATTACTGTTTGAGCGATGCTTACCGCGACAAGGGCGGCGCAGAGGCCCAAGAAGCTGCTGCTGAGCCCGCTGACGACGATGACGATGACGAGGAGATGGAAGACGTATTGCCAGCTTCTTAGTATCGCTGCTCCTCACGCCTCAAGACTGGGCAGATGAGAAACAAAAGAGGTAGAATTTGATTCAGAGAGTTAAGTGAAGGATGTCATTTAATGCGGTGTTGCAATGGATTCAAACAAAGGATAGGGTTTTTAGAGCGTGATACCCTTTTAGTCTATATATTACCAGAAGTAGTCAATCATTTAGCGAACTGCCTTTTACTGTTGCCATTCGCTTGTCACTGTTGTCTTGTATCCGGCCTTGAAGCTGTATAAATAGTAGGTAGAAAGCTTGGCTAAGCTACTAACTACTACTCTTATTGCTTGGTTGTTGTGATCCACTCACTCTCACTATTTCGAGAACAACTACGTAATGATCTTCCCCGCAATAACTACTAACTACTAAAAGTAGGTTTCTTTGGTAGACTCCAAACTGATCAGAGGCGCATTGCAAAAAGCTATAATAATATTAAGTCAGCTGCTGGCCTCCAAAAAGAAGCTGCTTTCCAGAATCTTGACTCAAATGCTTATGCTCATAGCTCTTCTCCACTTGTTGATCATCCCGGCAACTTCGCTTACAACAACAACCTCAACTCAAGACTACCTTTACTACTCTTCTTGTTACAATATGCATCTGGTATTTGACTTTGACGGAACAATCACTCAGCAAGACTCGATTGGGGAGCTTGCCCGCTCAGCCATCGAGATACAACGGAATAGGAAAGGCCATGATCTCCAGGCTTCATGGGACCAAGTGGTTCAAGCCTATGTTGCCGATTACAGACACTACAAGGAGAATCACCCATCACCAGAGGACACGCGGACATGCGTGGACCAGGAGTTTGACTTTCTTTCGGGTATGAAAGACGTGGAGGAGGCATCGTTGCAGCGTATTGCTGAATCACATATATTCGAAGGCTTGGATGCTGAGACGCTGTCGCAAGCGGGAGCCGATGCTGTCAAAGCTGGGAGGATCAAGATCAGAGATGGTTTCACGGATATAATGAGATTTGCGGTGGATAGGGACTGGAGCGTGAGCGTTATATCAGTCAACTGGTCTCGTTCCTTTCTTCGAGGTGCTCTATTACCACATACGCTCGACATCATCGCCAATGAACCAGCCCTGGACGGAACGATCACTGGACCCGAGTTTTTCGACGGGCGAATGACAAACGCAAGAGAGAAAAAAGAGGCTCTGAAGCATATTATCAAAGAAAAAGATGGAAAAGTGGTTTACTTTGGGGATTCGACAACGGATATGGAGTGTTTGCTCGCAGGAGGCGTCGTAATATCAGACGATGAAGAATCTTCTTTGTTGAAGGCATTAAGGAGAATCAAAGTCAATGTTCCACATGTCAGTGAGAAAAGAGAGAAAGACGGTAAAGTGAAATGGGCAAGAGACTTTCGGGAAGTGTTGGATAGTGGACTGGTGAATGAGCAGTCATAAGTTAGTACTGAGAAGTCAAAGGACTCCTTGTTTTAGTGAAAGACTCTAACCTTGAAGATTTTGTTTCTCTTTGTTTCTAAATTAAATGTCATTAGTGGACGTACATATTGAACAATGCTCAATGTGCATGAATTCGGGCACGGGTGAACCTTGTGGTACTGCACAGCAACGTGAAATCTTCACGCCAATGATGAGGCTAGTGCAACAATACATTAACACTGAAATGAGGTTCATGTCGACAAAGTAAAAACTTGGACAAAAAGAAACGAGGTTTCCCTGCATAGAGGGATACGCTTTGTTTACCTGTTGATGGGACTGCCTGTACATAAAGAAAACGATTCACAAGAATCTGGTTTCTGTGAATACCAACACAGACCAACTCTTCACCATCTTATTTGATGGTATAAGAGAAAAAAACGATACAATGCTCGATTCTCTACTAGATTCCGTCCTCTCCAACAGAAACCGATTCAGACAAAACCAGTACCCACCACTATTGATAGTTACACCACTATCATCGCCAACCAACCGTCAGCATGTGCTTATACGCCTGCGTCGTCTTCCTCTGCGCCCACGAGCGCTGGGGTTTATGTGTAAAGACGTGCCAGACCGCCGAGAACTTCCAGGCGAACAAGGTCGACCAAGACTGCTTGGTAAAAAGCCCTCACGTGCCTACATCGCGAAAGTTGCAGAGAAAGTGCAGCAGCTGTATCGTGATGGAAGACAAATTCGGCCAAGCTAAGAAGAGCATTGAGGATGTCAAACAGGCGCTGAAGAGGATTGGAGAAGAAACGAGGAAGAGAAAGATGGAAGGGGAGAAAAAGAAAGAGCAAGAAGAAGGCAAGGCAAGACCGGCTGTGGGTGTAGATTGTGGTCCTGAGCTCGGGGTTATTAGCGAGGAGGATGAAGAGATTGGGGAGGATTCTGAGATGGGAGATGGGTCTTCCTGGGCGAGTGGTTAATGTGCGTGTTGGATATGGATGATGAGGATACGAATACCCGTTGTTTGCTTGTTTCTTTGTCTTGGAGGATGGAAAGGAAGATTGATACCCTGGATTGTATAGAATTTGACCCTAGAGTCGACAATTGAGTTGGTTAACTAACAGATCCGTCCAAGTTGATTATAGGCTATTGTGATAATTTGTGATAATTTGTGTTTATCTCAACGTTGGGCAGCAAGGCTGTACAGTTTAACATGACTCCTTATCTTGATTCGGTTATCAGTGCGAGGAAAATGAGTCTCGTGATGTTGGTTCCATGGATTTCAACGTCAAATGTCACTTTACAAGAACCTGCGCCTCAGTTGAACACCCCGTATTTACGCCCGAGATAAACCCAGAACGGCAACTCGCTTACAGATACAAAGTGCCCCCCATATCTCAGCCAATTGGTGTACAGTATGTCACTACTTCCTTGATCTTCTGGAACCCTTCTTCTATCCCCCGGATCTAATTCAGCTCAGCCACGACCGAGATGCTCCGATCCCCCGTCCCCGGGTGGGTCTGCCTGTCATGCCCCCGGAGGTTCTATCGCCGTCCTATTCGCCGAGCCGACATTATCTGACGGATCTCTGGGCCGTGGAAAGGAGCATGAGACATTCTGGAGTCTCTCAATGACCCCATGACGCTACTATGCGTTGCCTGAACACATGGGGGAATAAAGTCGGGCTCCCACTGAACCAGGCACCCTGGTAACAAGTCTCTTGGCAGTCAGCTCGAGAGGAGAGACAATTCACCAAAACTCATACATAATAAGCTCGACCCGCCGCTGGACGAATAATGTCATTTCACTACATGCAGTTGGAAAGGAGTTTGCATACCTTGTTCGCTTATATTGGTCCCCCCCCACCGACATTACGGACAGCCCCAAGCTTAACTTGACATCCTTTAGTCAAAGATTCTCATGAACAGCGACTTCTCGGCCCCGTTCAAGAGGGTCGCCGTTCTTCTCAAGTCCCGCAAGACTACGTTGTCCATCTCGGGCGGCGGAGCGCAACCGCCCTAATGGGGTTCGTCCACCACGGCCTGGATCTGTTCAACTACGACCAAAAGGTCTGTTCTAGCCAAGTTTTGATCACCGGCGACGACACTCCATCAAATATTGAGTATGATGAGTATGTTGTTTACAAACCTCCAGAAAACTCTGGTCCTGCGCCTGCGCCTGCGCCTGCCACTCTGAACCATCCTTGGGTACAAGACGATGAGCATATCACTCACCACTTTACCCGCGATGATACTCCCGGGACTACCATCTTTGATCTAGCATTTCGTCGTGGATATATGCTTGACCGAGAAGTTAGTATACAACAGCAAAATGCGAAATAAGTTGACTCATTATTTTCAAGGGCACTTTCCGAAAGCCAGATGCCGATGAAGCACCATCAGCTGGCATGGAAGGTCGGATTCGCAGAGTGTAAGTCTTACCAGTTATTGTTCAAATCAATTTTCTAACCAGTCGCAGTATTTGCTTCAAGCGTAAAACCATTTATGATGGTAACCGCGAGATTCTTAGCATGACAGTTAACGACCTTGCGGTCATGAATCTTCACCCTGCTACTCTGCAGTACTCAACCCGTACCACCACAGAATCCAGATTCTGGTCTAAAGATAGATCTCAACTGAGTAAGTTCACCTGCAGTTGTACAGAGACCATATTCTAACTATGCATCCAGGCATTATTCTCGCCTTTTCAGAGATGCCAAAGACGCCTTGTGACTTCCTTTCCATGACTTACAATGTTCGTGAACGCTCGGCTACCATCTTGGTCCGTCAGTCATGGGAGCCAAGACGCCACAACATGGACGACCTTGACGAGTACGACCATCGTCTGGAATCTTGCAGGACTCACTGGGCGCATCCTCTCATCACACCAGTTGTGCTGCTTCAAGTACAATTCATGCGATGCGAAGAGGCTGTCAGCGAAAACAACTCCAACGTCGCCCACCTGGAATACGACGTCAGCAATATTGCTGGTTTCGATGCAACAGACACTGGGAGGCGCCTCAGCAGGACCTTCAGCAATGGAAAAGACGGAGAGAGGATCGCATGGGGGCCCATGACAATGACAAAGCTCATGAAGAGAGCACACGAAGTTCTTAAGGATACCATCAAGCTTCTCGACACCATTCGCTGGATGGAGCGAGCTATCAAAGTATTGATCCTGGCTGGCGACGAACTCAACGAGCGAATGGGAAACAGTTTGTGTTTCGGCCAGGATCTCAGTATGCTGAGTCCTAACATCTTGGACCCTTCAGGGGGACCTCCTCCAGTCAGTCCGGTTCTTCCACCTAGACAGCTCCCCAAGCTTCAATTGCCAGACGAGATCACCGATGGCGATTCCTTGGGACCTCATTGGCATGAGATTAGACAGTATCTTGATGGATTGCTGCGTCTATGCATGGGCCTCGAAACTGATAGACGCATGTCAGAGGCTAGATGCCGTGCTCAAATCGACATGGTAAGTACCCAACCACTTCCCCTTTCGCCCAAATAACAGGTACTCATTACATACCACAGATCTACAGTAAGATGGCACAAGAAGACAACATTTTGAATGCTCGGATGGCTGTAGCATCCTCTCGTGATAGTTCCTCCATGAAAGCACTTGCAGTCATCACCGCTGTCTTCCTCCCCGGCGAGTTTCTTGGCACACTCTTCGGCATGTCCATGTTTGACTGGCTCGGCCCAGACGAAGAAGACGACGACGGCTCGAACCCCATGTCTGACGCAGTGAAAATAAACCGATTCGGGCAGAATTTCTGGTACTACTGGGCCACCGCCGTGCCCCTTACCATCATGATTCTCATCGCATGGCGAGTCTGGTGGGTTAGCCAAGACCGTTACTTCCGACGCCATCTATCCCAGGAGCTCAGCGAGGAGAGGTACTGGACTGCTGATGGAAAACCTCGACAGCTGGAGCGCAGTTTCCTCTGGGATTTCTTCTATCTTTCCGCGAGGCGGGATGAGAAGCCGCGTGCAGTGGCGGCAGAGGAGCTGGCTGAACTTGAAACTGTCAACTCTACTACGAAGGAAGGCTACGATGGGGGGCTGCCTCGAGCTACGAGTGTGAGGCAGAGACAAATCCTTGAGACAAGGAAGTGGAGTCTTCACCAGAGGGGGGTCAATACAGTTGTATAAGCTATGGTTGCTGTAGTTGTGATGTTGATAGCCGAGCATAATGTGTGACATTTACGAGTTTGCGATGAGATATAATTAGGATACCTCGAAGTTCTGCATTTATTACTTACAAATTGATATAGTTTCTTTAGAACGCCATCCTACTACACGTATCTGAAATACCATATAGTTTGCTCTTGATCCAAGACAAGACTTAAAATCGTCAAGTCATATGCTGTTGGCAGAGAGCACTTTCACCACCTCGACTTGGAATGGCCCATGTTAAACAGTCTATCATATGACCACTCATACGTATGGCGATCCGAGTAATAAGTGAAATGATATGACATGCATACATGCACGGTGACATTAACTGATGTTCTGTAAGATGGCAGTTGCATATCTCCGTGAAAAGAGTTGCGTTTGGTGCCTCATCCATGCATGACAGAGGCTGTACATAACTGAAAGACGGGGGCATGACCGATGTCTTGTATCAGGGATAGACAGCAGAATTTTCGATGCGAGCGGCTGATCGGAGGGTTTCTGAATCACAAATTGTGGGCAACTGGAATGTTGATTGCCAATTCGGGTGCCATCTAAGGACATCGCGATGGCTTCACTAGTTTAGTCTCAAGGTCGCTAGTTCAGCCATAGGACAAACAACACGGATCAGTAGCAAGCAACAGAGGAATGAGAAAGAAAAGAGTCTGTTTATTTCAAATCATCAACGCTTGGACGTTGTGAAAGAGGCAGAGTTGACTGTAGTATCCGCGTCCAACCGGTTTATACCGTTGACAAGTCCAGAATGAGCCTTAGCAACGCCTTTACCAACGTTTGATTTCTGGATCATGATCTAGACCCTCGAAACTTGATTTCTTGTTGCAGACAAAGACAGTGTTGACAGGTTGTAAATGTGAATCATTAAAGGGGTGTCTGCGCCCTTGACGTAGCGGGAGCGCAAGGGAAGCCTTAGACAATAGGCGGGAGCGGCGTCTTGCATGCCCTAACAAGGGCCGAGAGTAACAATCAATTGTTTTTCTCCCTTTCTATGTTCTAATATATAGACAATAGACAACTTGGCGATTGTCCTTCAATTCTTCCCTTTATCTTGAAAGTTAGATAGATCAATGAGTCAGCAGTCATTAACGTCGAATCAGACAAGAATGATCAATGGGTCAGGAACAGGAACAGGACAAAATCGATTAAACGAAAGGAGGCTTGCGCAGGAACGACTGCCACTACATGTGCCGCCTAAACTCTATCATCTCATCACCACCCACTAACACCAGAATCGCCCAACATCACCAGTATCAAGCGTATAGAAACTTATTCTTCCCGTCTCGCATTTCAAAAGTCCTACGTCTTAAACTCTGACCATCCTTCTCTAGTATCATCAACCACTGGTTCCAGACACTAAGCGCATTCCTCGTCAGGGTCCCAAGACATACCAATCCCACGTTTTAGGGCCTTGTGGCGTTCAATAAGCTCAGAAACTTTCATCTTCATGTCTCATTTGGCATCGAGACACCCTCAATCGAGAACGGAATCCCCTAGATGGGGGGGTCGACGATGCTTTCCGTAGCATGCTTGGACGTCGTCTTCCCACTGATACGCGTCCAACATACGCTTTCGTCAGCATGCTATACTCCTTCAGGGTCGACTACTTATCCTGAACCGACATAGATCAAGTGGCGCCCCTTCATCATGTTCAATGTAATAAATTTGCCTCGATTCCCGTGTCTCACTCTTTTGGCTCCCCTTCTCTTCCCTTTAATCTCACCCTTGAGCCATTCCTTTCCCATCACTATCCAACCAACGTCATTCGTTCCTTACAAGTCTTCTATTTGATTCTCTTATAGTATAGTGTGTTCTCATCCTCCGGTTCCGTCACCCTGGTTTCTGTCTCACTACCAGCCTGCCTTCAGTATCTTGTCTCAGCTTAAACTCCCTCGCAAGACCTGTTGAACCCCTTGAACCACTTTCTGAACACCATCTCACACTTCACGAGGTGTCACTCCTTTACAATCACCTTGTATCGTTTGCTTATAAGAAGCACTAGCACTTATTTTACTTCCATCTCGGCCTGCCCTCACCATCCATCACATAGACTTCCACAAGTCTGAAAACGATTACACTCAACGACAGACCTCTTTTGCCCTAGACTATTCGAGTGTCTGATATGCTCAACCAAATCTTTCTCATTGCGCCTCTCTTGGCGCAAGCAGCCTTGGCTGTCCCGTCAGTGGAACCCAGACACCAGCACCTTCATGGCCACATGGAGCACTCACACGGTACCAGGACCACTATGTCAACTGCCGTTCGTCGTCAAGCAGAACAAACTCTCGAGGCAGCGCCGCAGTTCATCCCACCCAAGATGCCGTATGCGCTCAAACCTCAAACCAAGGTAGTCAAGCCTACTGCTGCAGCTAGTAATGACGACGACGACGATACAGTACCTAGTTTCATTCCGCCCAGAATGCCTTTTAATGCAAAGGCTGTTCAGCAAAAGTCAACCAACGAACAGGCCAGCCCCCAAAGGCTCGCTTCAGTTGCCTCTCTCAACAACAAGAAAACAACTGCAAAGGACACAAAGAATTCCAAAAACACTAAAAACACCAATGCCCAAAAGCTTGCACAAGCTCAGGACAATGACGATGACAAACTGCCTACCTTCATCCCACCTCGATCACCTTTCCGAGGTCCCAAAAAGCCTCAGCCAACCCAAGCTGTCCCTAGAGACACAGTGCCCGAGTTCATTCCTCCCCGAAACCCTTGGGCTCAGTCCAAATTCAACACACGCTCAACAGACAGCGATGGCCAGGGTGATCCTGAAGAGACTACTACCCCTGATTCTGACCAGGCGGCGTCTCGAATCGACCTTCTAAAGCGTGATGACGAAGATGAAGGCGACGAGCACTTCTTAGAAGAAGATGACGACGAGTTCAGCCCTTCGGACTTTCCCAACCTTGGTGGTCCTGAAGATGACGAGATTGTTGATGCCTCGAATCAAGATTCCGAGGATATCCCCGCCGTCAACATGTCAGAGCAGCAGGGAGAGCCTGATGGTGGAATCAACACCCAGGATGATGGGAACTCCAAGCACTACTTTGGTGGCGACTTTGATGATGAAGACACTGAAAACACTCCTACTCGTCTAGAAGCTCGGGGCGTCGCAAAGCGCAACATGCTTTACTTTACGAACTGGTGAGTTCTTGCCCATCTCTCGGTTACTAGTGGGTGCTAATAATGAAGAACTAGGGGTATTTATGAGAAGGATAGTGTCGAGGGATTCCATCCCAAAGACCTCCCGGTGAATGAGATTACGCACGTACTTTACTCTTTTGCCAATGTAAATGCAAAAGATGGAACAGTGTAAGTACGTGTCAGCTGCAATTACGAATCAGTTACTAACAAAGGATCAGAGTATCATCGGATCCTTGGGCAGATGTTGAGAAGCAATATTCGGGCGACACTGGGGGTGGAAACAACGCATATGGATGTGTGAAGCAACTGTACATTCTCAAAAAACAGAACCGCAATTTGAAGGTAGTTTTACTACAAAGCACCAATATTCTAAAGTGAAAATGCTAAGATATATAAACAGGTGCTGCTTTCGATCGGTGGCTTCAATGGAAGTCCTGCACTCGCCTCTGGCGTAAGTACACAGAATGGCCGAAAGCGGTTCATCTCCACTGCCGTCAAGCTCATCACCGACTGGGGATTTGATGGAATTGACATTGACTGGGAATACCCGGTCAACGCTCAAGAGGCCCGAAACTATGTTCTGGTACTCAACAATCTTCGGAAAGCTCTTGACAAATACTCAGACGACAACAAGCTTAACTATCGCTTCCTACTCACAGTCGCTTCACCCGCGGGCTCGAGCCACTATAACACGATGGACCTCAAAAACATGGACCCCTGGGTTGATGCCTGGCACCTCATGGCTTACGACTATGCTGGCCCATGGGATTCTACTACTGGTCACCAAGCCAACGTCTTCGCGTCCAAGAAGAACCCTCTCTCTACAAAGCTCAGCACTGATGCGACTCTTAATGACTATATCGCTGCTGGGGTGTCTCCTAACAAGATTCATCTGGGCATGCCTCTCTATGGCCGCTCCTTCTCTAACACAGCCGGTCTCGGCAAACCTTATTCAGGCACTGCCGGCGACTCGGAAGGAATCTACTTTCTCAAAGACCTGCCTCAACCCGGAGCAGTGACTACCTTCAATGCAGATCTTATGGCCAGCTACACATATGATAAGACGAAGCGAGAGCTTGTGACCATGGATGATCTCAAGTCAGCTCAGTACAAGGCCAACTACATCAACCAGCGCAATCTTGGTGGAGCTTTCTATTGGGAAGCCCGTGGTGACAGAGCTGGGCCTGCAAGTGTTGTTGCTGGTGTCAAACGTACCCTTGGCACGCTTGAGCAGAGAAACAATCTTCTCAAATACCCAACGAGCATGTACGACAATATTCGGAACGGTATGCGTTGATATGGCGCAATGCACTGACTATTTCCTTTGTACCCAAACTTTGTACGGATATTTGGGATGGTTTGGAGTTCTGGTTCAGTTTTCATTTGTTAAAATTGCTTTATGGGATGTGACTGGGATCATGTCACTTGTAGACTATAGATAAAAAGCCCTCGTTAGATAATGGCATACACTCTCTCGTTCTTTAAACATGTTTCCAATTATCATACTAAGCTGAGAGGATAAAGACTTAGGCGCCACCTAGCCAAGCACATCAAGACATGACTGTCGAGCTTCGTCTCTTGCGCTTTCAGCAGAAGCTAGATCTAGACACAGATGACAGGCTGATGTTCAACCAGGGTGGTCATAATTGTGGAATTTCGTGATACTGTATTCTGGTATTATCGTCCTGTCAACTATTTTCACTACTCCTCATCTACAACTCTTTCTGCACCACGCAGGCAGGGGTAGTCTGACGTACTACAGCCAGCCTCGATGATGGAAGTAAGGATCAAAACTCTTGCAAAAGGATTGCAAGTCCAGAAATCAACCTTTGCCAAAAAGAAAAGCGATAGATTACAAAAAACTCCCATGATAACAAAAGACGCGCCATTCCCCGACGTCTTGACCCATTTCCCATCTTTACTTTCAACACTCATCCCCTTCCCTCTATTCCGCAAATTGCTTCTCCTTGTCATCCGTGTGAGGCCGAGGACGTTTCTACATGTCTTGGCCCTGAGGGGTTCCGGAAGTGTCAACACCATGGAAGGCATCGCCGAATGCTGAATCGTCCATGTCCATGCTTAGATCGAGGCCTTCACCTAACTCGCCTGCCGAGCCGTCTAGCGTTGGGCCGTCGAAGCCGGCGAGAGCATCACCTGCTGTATCGAGGTCACCCAGGGAGCTGAAGTCGTTCTGATCAAAAGAGACAGAGCCTCCGGGTGTTCCAGCGGCCGGTGTGGCACCTGCAGAAGCGGTCTTTGCTACTGACTTGGAGGTATCGATTCCTGGCGCGACAGGTGTATTCGCGTTGACGGAAGCGGTGCCAGATCCAGGCTGTTGATCAGCCTGTTCGTTTGACTGGCCATCCTTCGGCACGACCACCCAATCTCCGCTACCGGTTCCTTGATCAGGGGCTGTGGCATGCGAGTCCTTAGGTTCTTGTGTTCCGCTCATAGTCACATCACCAACAGGAGCGGGAGCAGCGTTGGCGTTAGAGGGGGTCCCAGCTCCAGATTGATTAGCCGACGCTTGGGGCTGAGGAGTTCCAAAGGCGTTCAGGGGTGTAGAGGTGTTGGAAATTCCAGTGTGCATCTGGTCTAGCAGTCCAGCAACGGTGCCATCCATATCGATATCAGACTCACCAATCATGATACCGCTGTTCTGCGAGCCAGACTGTGAGGGCTGGCGAGATAATTGTGGGTTACCAGCGTGGACGGGCTCTGGTGCTGGTGGCTGATAACCTCCATCTTGAACACGAGACACCGTCGGCTTGGTTTCAACCTTTTTACCAGTAGCATTCTCAACCTCAGATACTATCTGTTCGACTGTTTTCGTGCTAGTGGGACGAGGGTCTGGGTCCTCGTCATGGGGGTCTACCTTGCCCTCAATTCGCCAAATCTCTGTGCCGGTGCCCTCAATAATATTTCGAAGCTCCTTCTCCTTAGTGTTAAGCATGGAGTTCTCCTTGAATTTGGCGAGAGCTTTGGCATGCTCGGCCTGCATCTTCTCGATCTCAGACTTGGTGGACTCGATGTGATTATGAACTCGCTTTCGGAATTCTTCGGCCTTGTCAGGGTCCAGGCGGCCGATGTAGGGCTTGTCAGGCCCTGATGTGAAAGCCTCAACTCCTTGGGCCGGGAAAATTCCTTCTGTCAGCGATGCTAATTCGCCCTTGAAACCAAGATTAAGGTCTGCCGGGGTGATTTGGCTTATACGGTAAGGAGACGAAAGAATTTCCTCCATCCACTCGTGGTTTTGTTGGTATCGGCTCAACGAAATCTCTCTAGGGGTGAGATGATCAAACATATCACCCCTGGAGACATCTTCTTCATCATCAAAAGCAGCATCTGCCTGGGGAGCTCCTGGTAGAGGAGCCTGACCACCCTGACTCGCCGCGTGTCTCGGTCGCTTGGCGGGAGGACCCGGCGCAGGTTGTGTAGGATATGCCATCTGCTGAGGGACACCTCGGGGAGCCATTTGGGGAGGCACAGCCTGCCGTGTGAGATCTGGCAGCTGGGGCCAGTTGACCCGGTCGGACAACATGAATTCCTTGCGACGGATCTGACCAGCACGTTGCAAGAAGTGGCGCTGCTGCATAATACTGTTGACTCTCTCATCGAAGGGAATCATCGCGACAGGGACTCTGTCATTGGGCTCGGCAGGCCCGTAGTGCACGATAAACAGACCGACGTCTGGTTGAGGAGGGTTGGGGTGACCGGGAATGGGGACTAATCGGCATCGTCGACGGGCGTGGAGAGCGTATTGTTCACCGGGGAAGTAACCGGCCTTTTGGTAGTAAATTTCAAGCATCTGGAAAGATTTAGCATTCAGTCTCCTCATCGCACCATTCCATTCGGCCTTACCAGTCCGTTACCCAGGTCATGCTTGTAGACCTGCTCTGGGGGAGCCCACACATAACCATCTGTCGCGAAATTGGTTGCCAAGCGTTGAAGGGGCTGCCAGGTCAAGAGTATTGTGCCGTCGGCGGGCTTATCGAGATATGTCCAGAAGAAAGGTGCTCTGTCTCGCGCGACTTGCGGTGCGCTCATAAGCCACTTGGCAACCTCGTTCAGGTCAAGCCGGGGCATCACCGGGTATCGAAATGACGAGATGAGATGGACATGGGGCATCTATAAACCTGTCAGAGGGATGTTGCGACGACATTTTCCATTGATGCGCGGGGGGCAGAACATACGAGGTCCTGGGGAACGCCCTGGCTAGGATCTGGTTGAGCCATGCTGGGCAAGCGTCGCGATGGACAATTGTTGGTTTCTAATTACGCGATTGATTGTCTGTACAACTGCGCGTTGCAACGCCTTGGCCGTATATTACTGTCGATGGGGCGATTGAATTTAAAAGATAAGGGAATGTCGTGGCGCAGTCAACGATATGAACTGCGACGGAGTTGTTTGAAGAGTGATGCCCTTACGCGGCTCCAAACTTCTCGCGACAAGGCTGAGAGTATGCCACCGGCCAATGAGAACGACCTGACTTTCGAGAAGAAGAGTGGGTCTCTTGCAATGTCAAGATATGACACTCTAACATAAAATAATCGAGCATTTTCGAAGAAATGTTTGATAAATATTTACAGGTAATTCAGTCATCATGTGATCAGAAAATATCACTCAACGAATTTGCGATTGACTATTGGTGTTTAATCTCGGTGCATTATAAAATCAAGAGCAATGTCCATAATAGTATCCCCTGTAGTAGTTGCATTGGTTTTCTTACAATAAATCAGCATGTCACTTTTTTAGTAACTACAATATTATTTGTAATATTTTTTTATTTCTCTGTTTGGGTTCTAAACACGAACCCGGATGTCATCACTGAGCTTTCTAAATCCATACCAGCTCATTCATCATTATCCCTGCAGCGCCAGCGTTATTCCTGCGTTCCTAATCACGGATTTTTTTTTATAAGACGCAGCTATCGAGCTTCGTACGGCCCGACGGTATTCATTTCTTAACCTATCATGATTCCTTCTCTTTACCCTGGGCCGTTTAAGCCTGGTAAGTAGAGGCGGAGACGTTACCTCCACGACCAGTCCAGTTGACGTGAATGTCCTGGCCGTTGGGGTACTTCTCGCTAGCGTTCTCGGGCTTGATGCGGAAGGTGTGGGCACCGAAGTAGTCACGCTGAGCCTGGAGAAGGTTGGCGGGGAGGTCCTTGGTGCGGTAACCGTCGAACCAAGACAGAGCGGTAGAGAAGGCGGGAGTAGGGATACCAAGGAGGGCAGCCTTGGCAATAACGTCTCTCCAGCCGGGCTGAGCCTTGTGGATGGCCTTGTTGAAGAAGTCGTCGAACAGGAGGTTCTGGAGGTCAGGCTGGCTGCGGTAGGCGTGGGTGATGTCCTTGAGGAAGACGGATCGGATGATGCAGCCACCTCGCCACATAAGGGCGATGGAAGGCTTGTTAAGCTTCCAGCCGTACTCACGGGCAGCCTCCTGCATAAGCATGAAGCCCTGGGCGTAGGAGATGATCTTGGAGGCGTAGAGAGCCTGCTCGAGGTCGTCGATGAACTGCTTCTTGTCACCCTCGAACTTGGTGGTTCGGCTGACGAACTCAAGCTTGGAGGAGGCGGCGGCACGCTCGTCCTTGATGGCGGACAAGCATCGAGAAAGAACAGACTCGGCGATCAGAGTGACGGGCATGCCGAGGTCGAGAGCGTTGACAGCGGTCCACTTGCCGGTACCCTTTTGGCCGGCCTTGTCGAGGATCTTCTCGACGAGAGCAGTGCCATCGTCGTCGTTAAAGTACATAATGTCACGAGTGATCTCGATTAAGAAAGAGTCCAAAACACCCTTGTTCCACTCGGCGAAGACGTCGCCAATCTCCTTGCTGGAGAGGCCAAGACCGCGCTTCATGATATCGTAAGCCTGTAGGTTATGAGGTTAGTATCCACATTCCACGATCCAGTTCTTAGGGGCGGTTCTGTTTACCTCGCAGATGAGCTGCATGTCACCGTACTCAATACCGTTGTGGACCATCTTGACGTAGTGACCAGCACCCTCGTCGCCAACCCACTCACAGCAAGCATCGCCATCGCTCTTGGCGGAGATGCTTTGGAAGATGTCCTTAATGTGGGGCCAGGCCTCCTCGTTACCACCGGGCATGATGGAGGGACCGTATCGGGCACCCTCCTCACCACCAGAGACACCAGAGCCGACGAAGCGGATGTTCTTCTCGGCGAGGTACTTGGTGCGGCGGTTGGAGTCGGGGAAGTGAGAGTTACCACCGTCGATGATGATGTCGCCGGCATCAAGGAGAGGCAGGATCTTCTCAATCCAGTCATCAACAGCCTGGCCAGCCTGAACCAGGAGCATGACACGGCGGGGAGACTTGAGCTTGCTGACGAACTCCTCAACGCTGTGGGCGCCAACAATGGACTTGCCCTTGGCCTCGTTCTCGAGGAATCGGTCGACCTTGGAGACGGTTCGGTTGAAGGCGCAGATGGTGAAGCCATTGTCAGCCATGTTCAGAATGAGATTCTGTCCCCTGTGAGGCATGTAAGTAAGTACAAGCTGTTGCTGGCTGTGCCAGAATTGGATTTGGAAGTTTACTTACATGACAGCAAGGCCGATAAGACCCAGATCCGCGCTTGGAACATTGTTAGCATTCGTCGCATTTTCGGTCGCATCAGAACTTGAGGGTGAGGTAGAAGAAGTGTTGTGTTGTTGTTGAGGGGCGCCCAGGTTGAGGTGAGCGAGACGAGCTCTACCCCAAGAAAAGAGCATGAGCTGTGTTCATGATGAGGAATACCATCCCATCCACCACAACACTCCATGCGAAAGTCCATCATGGCGATTGCCTCATTCTCCTTTTTAGTCCCTCAGCCAGCGCCCGGAGAGTGCGGGAATGAGAGAATGAGAGCATCGCCATGAGAGAGGCATTGGAGGGGTGGTGGGGTAGTGTCAAGAGGTAGGAGCGAGAGGGGAGCTTCAAACTTACACAGGGCCAGACATGATGGGCTATATTATGTGATGGAGGGGTATAGGTGATAGAGTGGAATGAAGTTTGTGAGGATGAATGAAGAAGAGAAGGAAAAGAAGGAGAAAAAGGTGGGAGGAAATGCAAAGTTCAAGTACTGCTGTACGGATACAGAACCTGGCTTGGGGGGACTGGGCCTTGGGACTGATGAATCTGATGGATGTTGTCACACCTGTGCTAAAGTTGGGCACTCGGTACCTTGTCCGCAAGCATGGGAGCATCAATACAGGTACCTTTTACCTCTTGGACCACCTTTTTTTTCTGCGACCGCTTTGCTCAACTAAGCAACAGCTCAAAACCAACCCAATACAATTGGCATAACGCCAAGAATGGTGGAGAATCCGCCTTGATTGGCGGGGCCTTTGCTAGGTAAGTGCGTATCGTCATCGTCACTCCTCCCTCGTCACTGCGCGGTGCGGCCGAGAACGAACCTGATGATGGATGTTTTCATCCATGGCATTGAATTGATTGTCAGTACTAGTAGTACTGTATCTCGATTACCGAGAATCGAGTCCAGTATCTTTCTCTGTCGATGATTGAGGGACCGTAATTGTACATCATCAATAATATCCCTCACCATTGTTACCAACTTTACTCATACACATTAGCTGATTGTACATACATTTTCTAACTCAAACTTTTGTTCAATTCCTCAGCATCCATCATGATGACTGAACTGATACCCCTCCACTTCCCTGTGCTTGCATGCCACTTTTCATTGGTCAATCACCTCTAGTAGGGGTCCATCAGCCAACGGACACCAAGTTCCAGAGATACATGGATTTTCCCTCACAACATTTTGGCGGCAGTACTATCAACAGCATTGAAAACAAGCCCAGCATTTTACCCCTCCAGGTCCCGGGCCCCTCTGCGCCCCTCAGCTCCAACGTTATGACGACTCTGCGGTGCTGCTGCGGTCTTACCCCCAAGATGAACCCCAAAGCTTACCAAGATTTTTGAAACCGTGACACAAGCAATACAAATCTCGTACAAACCGAGCCGCATATCAGTTTTGGTCTGGCTTGCCATCCGTGGCTTCCGTTCACAATCCATCATGCAAATGCATCCTCACTCGCTCGTTGCTACGGACGAGACAACTTCCAGCCTTCTTTGTTCTTCCTCTGTTCATGCCATGTTGTCCGAGTGTTGGGGTCCACAGTCTTCCGGGCCCCGTGTAATAATCACTGCCGTACCAATTGACTTCTCTATAGGTCGGACAATAAACCGAACCCCAACGCGCCTTAGCCTTCGCAAATCCGTACCGATGCCCCCGAAAGGCGGATACAGACAAATGGAAGCCCAGAGAAAAAAAGGCCGCATAGGACTCAGCCGTCAGCCAGTACAGGTGTACTCTCAACCCAGGTGTACGCTCACCTCGACTCAGCCTGCCCGAATTTCTAGCTACTCCACCGGACATTGGTCCGGCAACAGGTACCATGGCGCGGTATAAGCGCCGATTTCAATGTAGACAGTCCAGCCTCGCTAGAGTCCGAAGTCGCTCATGACGAAACATACAAGAAACTCACTCATGGATAACCCAGAACGAGACAGCCAAGCGAAACACGCCTCACCTTTCATCCATCTACTTCCGTGACGGAACCCCCAAAGCCGTCTTGGGTATAACTAAAAGCCCAGGACAATATGTTCATGCCATTATGCTCGCCTGTCAATCTCGAATGTTAATTGACTCGGCTCTTGCAAATGCGAAACCCCAGCAAACCATTGCGCATCACCGCATCTGGATAATCACGTCTCAGGTTCCGTTGCATCGGTTCGGTCCAAATTAGCCGCCAGCTTCTGCCGCCCAAGTCGGCTCGATAACGGATCAATTCCATTCTTTTAACCTCATCCCATGCTCAATACAAATTACGGATCAATATTCATATAACTCACTACCAGGAGATGCAAATGCGCCTTTTTTTCCCAAGGCGATCGAAACTTGCCAAACCTGGACATGGAATCATCGTCGACCCCCACACAGGCGAACAAAGCCATGGCTGTTGATTGATTGTCGGGTATTCAAAACAGTCATGTTACTTGATCGTTCAGTCATCAACAATCAGCATTTGCTAAACGGATTCTGGTTACAGAAATGGCGCATAATAGGTACGACGATGGGATGCCCATATTGATGAGCAACGCCATGTCCCACACCGCCCTCATACATGAATTTACGACTTTACTCAGAGAGACTTACTAGATATCATGAGGCGCATATCTCTCCGCATCTAAATGTTCTATAGTGCTCTATAAGCCTTTTTGTGAAAGGTTGAGAATGACGCATAGCCTGTGCGTGGGGGTTAACCTAGACTGTCAATGTTTGGTGTTTCTGATATCAGAAGTCACTGTCCACAATACGGCAGGCAAGACAGTAAAGAACCTCAACTGTTACGGGTGATTTAGCTTTTCTAAATTCGCACTCTGAAGTTTCTAAAGTTATCTTACTCAACATGAAGTTATGATGGCATCAACGGTCAAGACACGTGATTGAGAAATTGACCCACTTGGATCGATCATAGCAAGGCTGATATATGAAGTAGCCCAAAAAAAAGCAGCCTTGTCAAGATCCATTTTCTGCAATTCTCATCCAATCACACCATTATCACCAAATCGCGTTACATTGTCGTAACGTGCGCGCTATCAAATCTCCCAGCAACAAACTGTAGAAACTGCTGAGAAATCTCTGGAAAGAGCAACTTTGAGCAGAACTTGGCTCAAGGTACGTTTTTGCGCAACACTACACCGCCTTGTTCTGTATTCATCATGGCGTACCCTCCCCCTCCAGGCATCAGCAACAGCTCTCTCCCACCGAGACCTCCCGCCTCCAAGTCAGGCTTCAAGCCCGCTTTCTCCTCCGCGGCACAGGCCGCCTCGAAGCCTGCGTACTCCAACGTCCCGCCGACGTACTCCGGCCCTTCGAGTTACCCAGCTACCACCGCTCCTCCCACAGCTCAGTATGGCCCGTCATACTCATCCTACCCGACTACTGCTCCCGGCGCGGTGAGCTCGGCTGCAGCATACTCATACCCTCAACAACCTCAGAGTCACGGTCCACAGAGCTACGGCACACAAAGTTATGGACCTCAAAGCTACGAACCGCAAAGCTATGGCGCAGCACCACAGATTAAAAATCCGTTCCCCACGCCAGGCACAGCCGGGCCAGAATATAACCCGGAGATGGCCGCGCAGATAGCTCAATGGCAAAGCGCATACTCGAGCACTCCAGCAGACAACAAGGACAAGACTGCCGGTCCTGCAGGACCCCGAGCCGACGGCCAGTCTTCTGCGGCAGCAGCGGCCACCGCTGCGAACCTGGAGCGCAAGAAGACAGTCGTCCGCGAAGGTGGCGGTAAGAAATGGACTGACGACAGCCTTCTCGAGTGGGATCCTGCTCATCTGCGACTCTTTGTCGGTAACCTCGCTGGCGAAACCACCGACGACGCTCTCCTAAAGGCTTTTTCGCGCTGGCAGTCTGTGCAAAAGGCTCGTGTCATTCGTGACAAGCGTACATCCAAATCCAAGGGTTACGGCTTTGTCAGTTTCAGCGATGCCGATGATTTCTTCCAAGCCGCCAAGGAGATGAACGGCAAATACATCCAAAGCCACCCTGTGACAGTTCGTAAAGCCAACACTGAAATCAAAGTGGCCAACGTCAAAGAGAAGGACAGGAGCGGAAAGAAGAATAAGAACAAGAAGGGTGGCCACGGTGGTCATGGCGGCGGCGCTGGCTACGAACCAAACTTGGGACCCCAAGGTGGCAGCGGTGTGGTCAAGCCTGGTCAAAAGACCAAGAACGGTCTTCGACTCCTCGGCTGATCTGTGTCTTTTTAGCCAGAGGGAAAGGTCCCGTTCGGTGTTTGGTGTTGGGAACTACGTATGACGTTCGGCATAAGTTCATTAATTCAGGGCCTGGTTGATACGATACAAGCAAATCAATTCATCAGGTCAATTCATCAGGTGGTAGTGTGTGTCATCGCAACAGTTTAGCCCATTAACATAGCTATTCAATTATTATAAAGTGTCAAATAGCCATCAGTGACGTCCGAAAATAATACACCGATTCGAAATACTTGCGACTTATGAGAGATGTTGAATCGGCCTCTTATACGATACTGTGAGTTCCGAATTACCCAATCGTTGCCCACCCTACACCAAGCATACGCTGCACAACCTCAGATCTTGAAAGGACTATTGATCGCGAACATAATACCAGCATAAGCGTTTTACAATGTCCCGAATTGCCTCAAGAAGGGTTCATTGTGTATTGTACCGTGCACCGTTTGATCTGCTACATCGGGAGACGATAGACTGGATAGAGCATCTAGAGAGGTGTGGAGAGTGAGATAGATTGCTTGGTTAGGAGAATAAACACGATTTAACAAGACACAAGCAACAAATGCATAAGAGAGTCTCTAGAAGGCATAAATCAACTTTCTAATTTCATTTCTTCTACGAGAGAGAGACTCTGGGTACCTCGAGGATTATATCCTTTGTAGAGAATTCAGTGATATTTTGCTCCACAGAAGGTTTTGAATTGTTCAAATTTGCTCTAATGACAAGTGCTTCGACACGAAGTTCTATTTGCAGTCCGAATGTCTCAGGTCATTGTCATTGGTGGACCGAGACGTTGGGACCGGTGTTGACGGGAACGCCCTTGTCTGTCTCGGAAGACAAGACCCTCTCTCCTGTGCCTGTGCCTGTAAAATCCAGGGACAACTGCTGCAAGCGTAGGTCTGGTTTCTAATTTGGAACTGTACTACTATTAACACTGGAAGGTTACCCCCGCCAAGACCTTAAATGCCGTCTCCCGGAGGCAACGTCGTTATTTGCTAGTTGGAAATTGAATTTGAAAAGGGGGCTTCCTGTCAATAAGTAATTACTAGTTCAAACCAGAAACTTGCAGAGCATCGATACGATGTCATGGTGAACGAGTGCCTGCCCGTACATATCTAGTGCCTCGACTTTATGCAAGATCAAAGCCCCATCGGATACGAGCTGTGAGACCTTTCGTTACCCCTGGATTAGTGGGTCGGCAATTCGACTTCGGATTGTGTTTTCAATAAACATGATGATAAAAATTGGAATCCTACCACGAAACAGTTCATAATAGTCTGCTATATAGACCAGCTAACCAGCACTGACTCGAGGGCTGCACAAGGCTAGGAAATGTGTCACATGGGCACTGCACACGTGCGCGAACTTGATCAGCAGCGGATCGCTGTCGATTGAAGATCGTTAGTATTGAGATAGATATGCGCCGCTTTCTTCTTAGTCCATTGCATCTGACGAACCACTAACTAAGACAAGACATCTCTAACTGCCGAATTATGATGCAACCCCCGCAAAGGGTTTACAGTTCTAGTTGAGTCCTGGACAGCTTGTTGCAACAAAAACTGCGCCTTGAATTAAAAATGATTTATAGTCGACTCTTGGCCAAATCTCGTCAAACTTGGTAGTGCAGGATCACTGCTTCTAATTCCAAGAGGGATTTCTTCCTTTACGTTACCGCTCTTCTTACCTACGGTGGGAAGCAGCCAGTCATGCAAAACTGCACTGCTGACTGCACCTTGAAACAGGGTTCTCAAACCAATCAAGATCTTCTTTTGAAACCCAGATATTGTGTCGCGTGCAGCTGGATGCAGTGCGCCACGGGGCTCCTTGTTGCCGCCAAGAGCCGAACACCGTCCCAGGTCCACTCCGTATTTTCCGCTGCTGGGTTAACAGATTCAAAGTGAAAGGAAAAGGGGACCAAGAAAATCTCTGAATTTTGAGCTTGACGTAGAGTAAGCCGAGGGTTTGATAGAGTAATTCCATGGCATTAGGATTTATACCTAGTGCTACAGGTAGAAGGTAAGTACTAGGGTACCTCACGCCTTGCCAAGAAGTATTTGAGGTTCCCGGCATGGAAGGTGCCATCCATCCAATTCAGAACTGCACCTGCACTATTAACGTCAAGAGATTCAGGTCAGTGGTTACTGTCATTAAAACACTGACACTCTAGGTGCCCGCTCAGAGTCTCCCAAATCCACAATCCGCCACAAAAGAGGCCCAAGACACGGCACTACGGTCCCCTACCATGGCGGCCCCGACTTAAGCTATTACCCCAATTGGATTAGCTCCTCCGCCTTTTCTAATGCACTACTGTACGGATGGAGTCCTTGCGACCACCTAAGCCAGCCAGAGATCGACCAACCCAACCTGACTGCTCATTACCATCACCTAACTAACTAACTGATTGACTTATGAAAGCCCCATCCTATCCCCTGCTCTAGTCCGTTCTTTCGTCCCCATCATGACCGGTCTTCCTCTACGATCTCATCCTGTCTCCTCGTCATCTCCCTCCTCTTCACAACCACTCCCTTCATCTTCGACCCGCGCTCCAGCTTCAGACTCCCCCGAACGTCTTCTCATCGACGACTCTCCACCAGTATCCGACTCAGACCCTCTGGAAACAGCGTCAGGACCATTATCAGGTACATCAAGGGCAGCTCCAACGTCGAACCCAGGCGCAAGCGGAGGAAGCCAAGCAGTAGCTGGCCCATTTCGCGAACGGGTTGCCAGATCAGTCAACGACGAGGACGAGAGCGAAAGCGACTGGGACATAGAGATGGAACCCATTGCAGGACATCGGCGACGGCGGAGTAGCCATAACATGGCCGTTCGGCCAGCCGGATCACCTAGCCGACTTCGTGATACAAGCCGTGGCCCTACACCCGGTAACTCGACAATCGAGCCCAAAATATCCGAGGAAAATCTAGATGCGAACGGCTTCGCGGTCCAAAAAGACGAATCAGCTGACGATAGCTTGACCGATGAAGATTTACAAGACGACGAAGAGACGGGATTGACCCGTAAGGATAAGCAAAGGCGGCAGAAGAAGCGCAGCAGAAATATGCAATTAGACCAAAGAGTCGCCAGGGACAGGACGGATATCTCAAAAGAGGAACGTAAAGAAGCAGACAAGGCTGTTTTCAGGAGCTTGATCATTAACGTGGTCCTGATTCTTTTATGGTACCTCTTTTCGTTATCAATATCGATCGTAAGTTATCCCAAAGCCTCTCTCCTTTTCTTTCTTTCTGGAGCACTGAATGCTGACATCGCTTACAGTACAACAAATGGATGTTTGATCATGACCGTCTGAATTTCGCTTTTCCTTTGTTTACAACCTCTATGCACATGGTAGTACAGTTTGTGCTCTCAGGTTTAGTTCTGTACTTCGTACCCTCTCTGAGGCCAGGACATGGTGCCAGCCAGGCCGGTTTTCACCAGTCCGATATGGGGAGGTCAAGACACGATGATGAGCCCAAGTCTTACGGCATGACCAAGATGTTTTACCTCACCCGAATTGGTCCCTGCGGCGCAGCGACTGGTCTTGACATTGGACTTGGCAACACCTCTCTCAAATTCATCAGCCTTACGTTTTATAGTATGTTGGCCTCAAAGATGCGTTCCTATACGAGTTGCTAACCTTCGCAGCTATGTGCAAATCCTCTTCGCTCGCTTTTGTTCTTGTGTTCGCTTTCGCTTTTCGTCTCGAAACCCCGACATTGCGTCTCATCGCCATTATCGCTACCATGACAATGGGTGTCGTTCTTATGGTGTTTGGCGAAGTCGAATTCAAGGCCGGCGGCTTCGCTCTCGTTATCTCAGCCGCCTTTTTCTCCGGTTTCCGATGGGCACTGACCCAGATCCTACTTCTTCGCAACCCTGCGACCTCAAACCCTTTCTCCAGCATCTTCTTTCTTACTCCTGTAATGTTCCTAGTTCTTATCTGCCTCGCTGTGCCAGTAGAGGGGATCGGAAACTTGCTTGAGGGATACAAGGTTCTGGGTAACGAATGGGGCTATTTCATGGCACCTCTTTTCCTACTTTTCCCCGGATGCATTGCCTTTTGCATGACTGCTTCAGAATTCGCCCTGTTGCAGCGAACTTCCGTCGTTACCCTCTCTATTGCCGGTATTTTCAAGGAAGTTGTTACTATCAGTGCGGCTGCTCTTGTATTTGGTGACCGCCTGACGCCCATCAACTTTGTTGGTCTCCTCACGACCATGGCTGCCATTGCCGCTTATAACTACATCAAAATTGCCAAGATGCGTGAGGAGGCACAAGAAAATGTCCATGGCCGACATGCCGACGAAGACGAACCTGGCTCTCCCGGAAGCCAGACTAGCGGAATCATCGACCGTGATGGTGATACCGACGCAGAAAACACGGGCCTTTTGCGTGACAGCATCGATCGCCTCGATATTGACGAGCCGGCTGCGGCGACGGCCAGCGAGCGTCGCTAGGATTGAATACTTGTTTCAGCGTTACAATTTCCTTTTGAATATCATCGCCTATATATAACGACTCTATAGGCTTGTTTCTTTGTCATACTGGGTGAGAGTCGACACAATGGCTCCATATCTTTTGTCTTAATGTAACATAACAATGGTTATAACAGGTGGCGTAGGGGAAATATTGTTACTTTCGTACATGGCGGATATAGAAGAGTAGAGAATGGGTATTTATCCTACAAACTTTTTCATCATCCAACATACAAGTCTTTGAAATGTACTCAGTGCCTTCAACTGTAAGGGTGATTTCTCCTGGTCTCACTACACATGCTCTTATTTCGAAATGAAATGTAGGGATCTGGAATTCGCGTTATTGAAACTACCTACTCAACAGGGTCTGTCCCTGCTTTGAGACTAATAAAATGATTGGCTTGCGTTTGGGAACTTTGCGACATTATGTTCTTGTGTAGGTAGGTAGATCAATTAACTGACTACACTCCGCACTCTCAACTGAATGAAGTCAATATCAGAGGATTAAGTCAAGGATCGTATCTGAACTTGCTCCTTGCTTTGAAAGACATTGGTAAAACATACGTAATCCAAGGTCATGGTTCATAATCTAATGTATACATTGTGTCTTGGCTTGGCTGAGTTTGTTGAATAGCGCAGCTTCTGGCCTTTCTGCCATGCTTACCTTTCACGACCATCATGAGAAAGGAATGATTTGGTCAGCTTCGACGATGATTTGAAGCCTCCCAAGAACATCTCTTCTCTTTCGGGAATGGCTGATCAGGTAATAGCGTAGTCATCCACGCCATGTCTCAAGCTGAGAGAGTACGTAGTACACATCGTGAAAGCTTATAAGTAACCCCGCGCATCTCACCCTCACCTTCACTGCAAAGCGATCCTTAAAGTCGACATCAGTTACTCACTAAAAATTTAGAGACGGATCCATAAGTATCCAGTTTTATGCTTTGCCGGGGTATCCGGGGTAGTCTAGACACATCCGTCTACCACTTACACGGTCCATTACATCATTCCGAAGCTTCCAAGCTCAGCTGTCTGTCAACCCTAAGCTCCCAGAGTTAGAGCTTCTGATATCCTTCTTTTCAATACACCTACGATATCCTCAGGGTATCAGGAAAATTGACCACTGGAAGTAGAAGAGACGAAATTACTAGGTCAGCTTATGGTCCTTAGACTACTTATTTTTATTCCCCAAGACTCAGGAGGCTAACGTTTCTGCTACCTTAGGATATACAATCAAATTTAGAAAAAGCAAAAAAAAAATAAAAATGGAAGGGAGACGTTCTTCAACACTCCCTGGAGGTTCTCGTCGGGGACAGCTTGGGGGCTATCTACCTATTGAGGACTATGGAATGATTGGCAACATGCACACTTGTGCACTTGTGGGAATCGATGGAAGTATTGACTATATGTGTTGGTAAGTATTGTTAAAAATCCGTGTCTTTTGGAACATACGTTGACGAGTCACAGGCCTGACTTTGACTCTCCTTCTGTCTTTTGCCGCTTGCTCGACAAGAACAAGGGAGGCCATTTCTTCATCTCGCCTCCTCCAGACGTCAACTGCACCACCAAGCAGCAGTATTTACCTTCATCATGTATTCTCCAAACAAGATCAATTCATGAGGATGGTGTTGTTGATGTGGTCGACTTTTTCCCTCGTCCCAAGAGTACTCAGGTCACCACTAAAGGTGTCAAGCTTAATGCATACCGAGAGGTCACCAAAGTTCAGGATGAACTTAAGAAATGGCTCGTTCGTCGTGTAGAATGCATCCGTGGTTCAATGAGTCTCGGTAAGACTTCTCCTTTATGCTAGATCAAAGAAGGAGACTGACCTGTCAGATATTGAACTTTTTCCCTCGTTCAACTATGGCAGAGATGAGCATAAGACAACTCTTTACCAAGCACACCACTCGATAATGGATACCACAAGCAAAGTCGCCACTTTTAGTAGCAAAGAAGTCCAACTTCAACTCGACGTCGCGGTTGAAAAGGGAGAGAACGAAACAAGCTGCCCCTCCATAACCTTTAGAAAAGAAAAGCGTGAGGGCATTCACGGAGAGGGCCTGATAGCTCAAATTTGTATTGAAGAAGGCCAGGCCATTTCCTTTGTTCTGCGGAATGACCTTCAGCAGCATGTCACTGAGCACATCACGACTGAAGTTCTGGATGCTCAGCAGCATGCAACTCAGAGCTTTTGGTACAACTTCATTGGACAGTCCAAGTACAAGGGACGTTGGAGGGAGGTTGTCTCCCGGAGCTTAATGATTCTCAAGATGATGACCTACGGTAAGATGGCAATGCTTCCAAAATCAAATTGCAGACTGACTCTTGATAGAACCCACTGGTGCTATTATCGCTGCCCCTACCTTCTCTATCCCTGAAGCCATCGGCGGCGTGCGAAACTGGGACTATCGCTACTGCTGGATCCGAGACTCCAGTTTCACCATATACATTCTACTGCGTCTTGGATTCAAGGCGGAAGCAGATGCTTACATGGAGTTCATCATGGAGCGATTTGTGCACTCACGCGGCCCGGATGGTGGATTGCCTATTATGTTTACCATCCGTGGCGAAACCGATATTCCAGAAACGACGTTGGATCATCTCGAAGGATATCGTGGAAGTAGCCCTGTTCGTATCGGTAACGGTGCGGCATTTCATCAGCAATTTGATATTTATGGCGAGCTCATGGATGCGATTTACTTGTACAATAAGTACGGGAAGCCGGTTCCCTGGGATGTATGGAAGGCTGTCCGTGAGATTCTTGGTACGTTCCTATACACTATTACTATGAGTAACATGCTAACAGCTATCAAGACTATGTCTTAACAATACTCGACGGTAGGTGATACACATGTTATTACAAGGCTTTGGCTGACCATTACAGACCCTGACATGTCTATCTGGGAGGTTCGCAATAATAAGCAGCACTTCACCTACTCCCAAATTATGCTTTGGGTTGCATTAGACCGAGGCCTTCGTCTTGCAGAAAAGAGATGCTTCCCTTGCCCCAATCGCAACAAATGGATGGAGGCAAGAGACAGAGTATATGAGCGCATCATGGAGAACGGTAGAGTGTTCATCAATCCTCGGTGACTCAACACTGACAGTTATGCAGGCTACAACGAAGAGATGAAGTGCTTCGTGCAGAGTTTCGAGAACAGAACAATGCTCGATTCCTCTATCTTGATCGCTCCTCTTGTCTTCTTCATCTCGCCCTGCGACCCACGCTTCCTTAACACTCTCGATCGTATCCTCTTACCCCCTGAGAAAGGAGGTCTGACAAGCACCGGTTTAGTATACCGCTACGACACTGAGCTTTCCAACGATGGTACGAAATTATGCCCCATATTGTACCAAATTTCAACAACTAATGATGAAACCTTGCTGCAGGAGTAGGCGGAGAAGAAGGCGCATTCAGTATGTGCACATTCTGGCTAGTTGAGGCCATGACCAGAGCAGCTGTGTACGAGCCAAAGTATCTGGTCCGGGCTGTCAACTTGTTTGAGAATATGCTTGGTTTCTCCAACCACCTATGCATGTTCTCAGAGGAGATTGCAAGAAGTGGTGAGCAGCTTGGTAACACACCCCAAGCTTTTAGTCATCTTGCCTTGATCAGTGCGGCTTTCAACCTTGACCGTGTTGCAAGGTGAGACTTTTGACAGTATCGACAGATGATTGCAGGAAGTAAGGCTTGTATTTAAATAGTATAATATATTATTTTGCTAAGTTTGACATATTTGACTCATTCCTGGCGACCTACAGAAGTTCACCTATGGTGCTGCACTGATACGGGATCTCCAACCTGGATCGTAGGATATTGTGATTCCTTGCTCGTTAGATCCCCATATGCAGAAGTGTCATGGCGCATATGTACGCCAAAGTAAACTTTGCCATCAAACCGTCTCGTCTTAGCAAGTGTCACAAATGGCTCTTCTTTCTTTTCACCAGTATCTTGGTCTATACAAACCATTTGACACCTGCGGCACGCACCCATAAGCTTGAAGCTCTGAAGGCCAATATGAACATAATCCCAGCTATCTTCGGAAAAGGCCGGTAGGGCTTTAAAACCATGAGCTTGTCCAAGAACGATATTTGCTCTGAAAGATTTATCTTCTGCAGGGTTCCCACCATAATTGGTGATCTCCTGATTCAGAGCATCCACACTCGAGCTGTGGATCATCAAGATAGGGCTCTCGTTTGAGAGGAGTATCTTTGATGCCTTTTGCTGTTCAGTATCCGAGTCAGGGGGCGAAGGCACGTCTGGGAAAGAGCCTGGTATAGTATGGAGCCTGCTCGGTTGCTGATATCTTTGTATCTGGGCTTTCGAAAGGCGACTTTTCAAGCCCGATCCACCTGGGGGGAAACGTGCTAGGACACAAGGCACCCCTAGCACAGCGGAGAAAAAGGAGTTGATCTTTTCGGACGTGTATATCTGTGTGGTTACCTTCTCACCACATACCCTCGAGGATCCTTTGTTCAAGTTTAAATCAACGACAGAAGGGTTCGCAGATAGTGGTATGGATATCCGCTGTTGCTGATCATTATGCCCCTTGCCATGATATGTGATAACCAGTTCGCCTTTATCGAAATCCAATATCGGTCGCAAGAGAGCCATTTTTGGACATCGTTTTTGGCTTAAGGCATGCCCTGAACCGTGATGTACCAAACACCATTCACGGTCCCAAGCCAAACCTTCGGGACGAACTTCCCAAGGTACCCCACAAGGGATAGAATAGCCAGAGCAACTCTTAATAGGGTAAATAGTCATGCTATTAACCTTTAGCGTGGGCGATTGCGGTGTGACAGTTGAATTTGGGAGGGTTAAGTGCGATGAGACGGTCGATAATGTGCTTTCTCGATAGAATTCATCAATGAATGCAACAAAGTTGTCAACATCTGCCTCGGTGCTCATAGCTCCTAAACTTGCTCGAATGACACCCGTTGGCTTGCCAGACATAATATCATTGTCTGTTCCGCAACGAAAGCCTGCCGAGAAATTGTTCTTCATTTCCCAAGGTTGTAGGTCAAGTGCTGAGGCAATGCCTCCTGGACTACAGAGTCCACCTGTTCGGATATGAATATTTTTCAGATTCGCAAGCTTTTCATACTCAGCCAGACTAATCCAAGCACCGTGGCTATTCCTTAGATTGAAAGAAATAATTGGGCCATTTCCAAGACCTTCTTCGTCGCCAGACGTTGCTGTATACATCACGCAAACAGGCGTGCCATTGGCATGGCGCATGTTGCTTAACCCTTGAAGCATTCGTTGACCGAGGTATGAAGTATGTGAACTGACTTGATCCATTGACCCGAAAAGCTTTTGGTGTACTTTCATGGCGATGTCAAGTGCCACTATATTATGAAAAGGTAGCGTCCCATCCTCTAGTCGCTCGTGGAGAGAATATGATTTCGGAGCATGCCACTTTTCCTTTCCAGAAACAACCATGTCGACAGTGCCACCTCCAAAGTATTTTCGGTTATTAAACACCCATTCTGAAGAGCGCTTTACTAGCAAAGCACCTAGATCGGGGAATCCAAATATCTTGTACAAACTTAGAACAGTGAAGTCGGGTGAGATTTGGGAGTTGCTCAAATCAAGATGAGATGTGGCAACAAACGAAGATGCGTCCAGAAGTGTAAGTATTCGGTGCCCAGTGTTCTGTGGTGTTGTTTGTATGTGTTTTGTCCAGCTTAAAGGATATCTCTTTCCGTCCATGTGAGATTGGGCAGGGTAGGCAAAAAGGGTTGTTGGTGATGAGTTCTTCATGTCTTGGAACGGGGATTGTCCTCGCAACCATGAACTAACATCGTTGTTGTCGATAGATATACTAGCAACAGCTTCTTCCCGAACTCCGACCAGGCTGGTATGGCAGGCCTGGTGATAGGCATATTGGAAGCCTTGTGGTTGAGTTCTCATAGCATCCACAATCAACTTTACGCCAGCAGTAGCATTGGCGACAAACACCACATCATACTCAGCTGGGTCTGCACCGAAGAAAGTCAATAAATTCATTCGAGCATCTTCAACGCGTGATGTCGATTGTTGTGAGGACTGTGAAGCGGAATGGGGGTTGCCGTAAAGAACAGTGGTCATCTCATGAGCGAAAGAGTCCATCAAGGACTTTGAGCATAATGTTGAGCCAGCATGATCAAGATATATAGAACCTGTGACGAGTTAGTACATTGTCAAGTATTAGTGTAAGAATATACAACCTTTAATCATTGGAAACTCGGTTTCTCTTAACCCTTCCACTGCCGCATTGTATTGGTGTCGGCTCGAATTGCCACTGTGAATAGATGTTGCCATCTGATGAATGTATTTGAAAGCAGGAACCCCTGCTGAGAGATGACAAGTTGACGAGTTTGTTTCTGACTGCCTTGAAAACAGATATTACGAATCTTGGAGATGTTGAGAGTTTGTTATATGTGGCCGAACTCTTATCACAAGGCAGTGAGGAGGCCTGATGCCGCTATCATGAGTGATAGTGGGGTGAAGAGTGGATGAGGAAACCAAGCCGAGGAGGGAAGTTGACTATGGCTTCTCTGAATCTGGACCTACTTTGTGTGAATAAAGAGAATAATATGAGATAAACGACAGATAATGCATGTGTATGACAATATAATTAACAGGAACCAAGTCTTATCGTCAGCTGGACTGTTGTTTGCCGTCTGTTAGTGAATGAACCACTGAGCATAGCGGAATATCCCCCAGATTCTGTTGTTAGTTACACGCGGAGATCGCCACTTTCCTGTTTCAAGCCAACACGTACGGGTTCGCTGTTTGCCGACAGGCCTTTTCTGGACGCTAATTGGTCAATATATGTGTAGGCAGGAATGGCGGACAGCGGTTTGGCGAGATGTAACCTCAAACTGAAGAACAGTAGGTAGTGTGATAACGGCACGTAACAAGATATAAAATTTTACAATAATTTCGTCCTAAATGCTCTAATAGCATCAGTTAAGTTTGTAATGTCTCCTATGGTATATTTTCCTGGATTTTAGGCCATGTCAAAATCGTTTGTGTTTGCCAATAAACGTAAAAAGTCAATGGCAAATAAGAAATAGCAACCTGACGACGGCATTAAAATTTGCAACGCATTTCCATAATATAATAAAGATAGACCCGGGTCAGGTTAGTAGTCATTAAAACATCTATATTGTACCTGACAGATATCGCGCTTACCCCTAGCAACTATCCAAGAGTCCAAGAGCCGAGCTTCAAAACACCCCTGCTGTTTCCATGGAGTGGCCCACTAATTCGCGCGACAGGCCCAGGAACAGGTGGCCGGGCACAGCTGAACTTCCGAGTGGTCCCCAGTCGAACCAACCAACTTAGCCTCTTCAACCTCACTCTATCACATCGCATCGCATCGCATTACATTCTATTGTACTGTCTTGCCATCTGTCTGTGAAGTGAGGGCGCTCATCACTCTCTACTTTTCTCAAGCTCATTGTCTTCTTCTCTAGAAGATCGCGCTTGTTCAATTAGTTTGTCTCCCTATACTCTTTCTCATCTCCTGCTCTACTCTCTTTTCCCCTGATCCCTCTTGCATCTCGTGCAACTCCTCGATCCAGCCGCTTTCGCATCCTCGCGTTCTCTCGTCCTCCCTCCTTGACGCGGCATCTCTATCCTACCCCTTTCCAATACTTTCCTCTTATTTTCTCTTCTTCGCTCAGGGCGCGTTGCTCTCGGCTCATCTTCTTAATGGCGCCTCTTTGGCAACCCTCCTATTTTTCTTGTCTACACGATCATTCATTCACACCTTGACTCAAGATAACTTGTCTAACATCGAAATGTTGCAACTAAATAGATCCCACCTTTGCGAATCGTCAATTTCTCTCTGCAAGTAGCAAAAACTTGCGCCGAAACCCTCTTAGTCAACCTTCTTTCATGCCGCGTCGCGTCGTTGGCAACGATACCAAGAATGGACTCGTACACATCTTTTCGGGACGCTTCGGCTCGTTCTCCGGCTGATCGCAGCTGGAATCGTGACGACTCACGCAACCGCGATGAACGTCCCGATCGTGGCGATTCCTTCTATCGTGGAAGATCCCCAGGTTCGTTTTATCATATCCAAGCTTTGCTTCGCGCCATCAAGGCGTGCAAGCCCTATCGTCAATCTGAACATGGCTAACATGCTGCAAGGTCATGACCGTCGAGACCGCCGCCGATCCCGCTCCCCTGCTACTGTTGACCGCTACGAGCCCCGACCCCGTCGAGGAGATGACCGGGACCGTGATGATCGACGCCGCATACAATCCCCACCTGCCAACATTGATCGATACGTTCCTGGCCAAGATTCCAGCACTGGAAGCCCAAGCGTGAACCCTCTCCACGACCCGGCTAAGCTTCCTTACCAGGTCGGCTTCTCCTACTTTGGAGAATGGTGGAGAATAAACGAGAAAATGAAGGAGGAGAGGGAGCGAGCGCGCACTGGTCGACGTCGCGAGCCAGAAAGGACTCGTGGTCCAGAAGACCGTGAAAAGGAAAAGGCCAAGATCCAGGCTGCTTATGATGCGTATAAGGAGGAACTCCAGGCCAAGATGGCTCGCTCATTTGTGTCTGAACACAAGAAGGAGCAGTGGTTCAAAGAGCGATACGTCCCTGAGATCCGAGATGATTTCAGAGCAAAGTTGAACGAATCACGACGCGGTGCCTACAGCCAGTGGGAGCAAGATCTTGAGTCAGGCACCTTTGACGACTTCTCTTTGGAAGGTCTCCCCAAGAGTGAGAGTAATGGTAGCGGCGGCGTTGTTGAAAAGGAAGAGGGAGAGGCGACGGCCACAAATGAGATCTTGGGCGTTGGTGACCTTGTCCCGGCTAACGGCGCTGACATCCGTGACGAGAACCAGTTCCAGCCAACCCTTTTGATCAAGACTATTGCACCCCATGTTAGCCGTCAGAACCTCGAGGCCTTTTGTAAAGAGCATCTTGGTGAGGAGGAGGGTGGCTTTAAGTGGCTGTCCCTGTCCGATCCTAATCCTAGCAAGCGATACCATCGCATTGGATGGGTTATGCTTCACCCTTCGTCAGAAACGGCCCTGCCTGGGGATCGTATCGATCCCAAAGATGAGGATGGTGACGAGTCGCTCAAATCTCCCCTGCCAGTTTCTACTGCCGACAAAGCCTTGGAGGCCATCAATGGAAAGACTGTCAAGGATGAGGTTCGAGGTGATTTCGTCTGCCATGTTGGAGTACACAACCCACCTGTTCACCCCAGGAAAAAGGCACTTTGGGATCTCTTCTCTGCCCCTGAGCGTATTGATAAGGATCTACTACTTGTGCAGCGAATCGTTAACAAGTTTGAGGAAGAATTCGGTTCTGATTTCCAGGCTACGTTGAAGATTGAGGAAAAGGTTGAAGATCTGAGAAATGCAGGCCAACTCCAACCGGCTGTTGTCCCAGCACCCGTTAAGAAGGTCAAGAAGACCAGGGAGGTTGGAATGGACGAAGCTATGGACGAGGAGGAAGATGGTGTTATCGATGTCGAAGAGGAGGAGGAGGAGGAGGAGGAGGGCGCCGTTGAAGACGAAGAAATCGACGACGAAGACCTTCTAGTTAAGAAGAAGCAACTCGACCTTTTGATCGAATACTTACGTCGTGTTTTCAATTTCTGCTTCTTCTGTGTTTTCGAGAGTGACTCGGTCCACGAGCTTACCCGAAAATGCCCTGGTGGGCACTTGCGTCGCCCTCGGAGCACCCTTTCGTCCACAGCAAAGGCCGTTGCGAGGGCCAGTGCGAACGGAGACCCTTTCCCTGGCAAGAAACGAAACGAAGATGATGCCGAGGGCGAGCTCACCGAGAGCGAAAAGAAGTTCCGAAACACCTCTAACAAGACTGAGCAACAGCTCCTTCGGGCGTTCAACTGGGTCAAGACATTTGAAGATAAGCTAACACAAATCTTGGACCCCCATTCCGTCGATATTCGAAAGCTTGGTGGTCGTCCTGCTGATGAGGCTGTTGAAGAGGAGCTTATGAAGCACGTGAAGCAAGAAGACGAGCACAAGTGGCGATGCAAGGCTCCTGATTGCTCTAAGCTGTTCAAGGAAGAGCACTTCTGGCGTAAGCACGTTGAGAAGCGTCACAACGATTGGGTTGATATCCTTAAACAAGAGGTACATAATGTTTTGGTTATTTCTTTTTGTACTTGACTAACCAATCGTCTAGTTCGAACTCATCAATGCCTATGTAATGGATCCGTCACATATCGCACCATCCAGGACTGATGCGAACTCGAATGGTCACTTCCCGACTTCCAACGGCCAATCCAGCAGCGGAACACCACGCGGTTTCAATCTTCAGAACTTTTCCATGAACGGAATGATGGGTATGCCCGGCTTCCCAGTGCCTCCTGGTAACTTCAACCCCATGTTCGCCAACATGCCACCGGGAGGATGGCCCCCGGTGGGCGATGATCGCTCTGGCGGAGGTCCTATTCGCCGAGGAGGCATGGGTGGTGGCCGAGGCCAGTATCGATCTGGGCCTTATGACCGTCGGGGCGGCCCCCGTTTCGATGGCCCTCGCAACCGAAACGGAGGCTCGCGCTGGGGTGACGGTGCTGGAGCAGCCGCTGGAGGTCCTCGTGAGGCCGTTCAGGGCCGAAGCCTCAAGAGCTACGAAGATCTTGACCAAGCCTCGGGTGGTGGTAGCGGCGAGCTCAATTATTAAATGAACAGGAAATTTCCTTGTCGAGAGCAATGCAATTTGGACGCTCTGGAGTTTATTGATTTTTCTAAATAATCAGAATCGCTTGGTATGGGCTATAGGGAGGGAAGGACATAACTAGTACCTAGATTCTTTGTATCATATGCCTACAATTATTGCTTCTTCAGGCAGTCGCTGGATGGACCAGCAACTTATAAACAGAATCTTTACACAGAATCCATGTTCTGTCATACTACAAGTGTAACGAATGAACCTGATTATAAGCCAACATTTGTTGTCCCTCGGTGAGGCTCGGTCAAGATAAGCTAGCGGATGTGCTAGGGGGCAATTATAGTTCACTGTGACCAATAAGGTGCAGCGATAAGATATTTTCGCGACCGCACATCCCCACCGCCCACCTTTTTTTTCTGTACCTCTAGGCTTGTTCAACTCTCCCATCTTGAAGTGTTTGGCGATTGTGTCTTTTAATAGTTTCAAGTTGCAAACATGGGACTTCTCGCAGAAAACAAGACGTAAGAGAATACGAACTCACACGGTGCCTTGGGTGTCTTCATGGCCATGCGCTAACTCTCCCAGCCGACGAAAGATCAACAAGGATCCCAACAACACGAAATGGACTAAAGATACGAATACCTTCGGACAGAAGATCCTGCGCGCACAGGGCTGGCAACCGGGCCAGTTCCTAGGAGCCCAGGATGCGCCGCACTCGGAGCTACACACTGCTGCCAACGCTTCTTACATTCGTGTGGTTCTCAAGGATGACATGAAGGGATTGGGCTTCAGCAAGTCCAAGGAGGACGAGGTTACTGGTCTCGACGTATTCCAAGACCTGCTCAGTCGACTCAACGGAAAGGCAGAAGAAGCTATCGAAGAGGATCAGCAAAACCGACTTGCTGTCAAGACACACCATTTCGTAGAACAACGATATGGTGCCATGCGATTCGTATACGGTGGTCTTCTGGTTGGCGATGAAATGAAGGAAGTAGAAGATAAGGCGGCCGAGAAGAAGGAGGCAGAGACAAGCTCCGAAGGAGACGTGGTTATGGAATCCGCACCCACACCAAAGGAGTCCAAGAAGGAGAAGAAGTCCAAGAAGAGGAAGGCAAGCTCCGACGACGAAGAGGAAGAGTCCTCCAGCCGTGATACCGACTCCAAGAGCAAGAAGAGGCGCAAGGAAGAGCGCAAGCGAAAGGAGACCGATAGCGACGATACCAAGGCCAAGAAGGGGAAGAAAGAAAAGAAGGACAAGTCCCGCAAGAAGTCCTCCACAGAAGTCTCAGACGATGAAGATGCCACCCCCTCAGAAGAACGATCCAAGAGGCGCAAGTCCAAGTCCAAGGATAAGAGCCGGTCACCAGATGGATCAGACGAGGAGAAGGTAAAGGACAAGAAGTCCAAGAAGGAAAAGAAGGACAAGAAGAAGCGCAAGAAGGATGATGAATCAGCGAGCGCGGCGGATTCTACACCCGCGGCTTCAGTCCCTGGAACGGGAGTAACGACACCTTCTGGCACATCCACACCTCGAGGTAGCAGAAACTTTGTGCGATCACGATTCATTGCGCAAAAGAGACAGGCTGTGTTGGATACCAAGGCACTGAACCAGGTTTGTCTGCCCTGATTTCTACCATTTTTGAATATTTTGCTAACATTGGGTAGATTTTTATGGTCAAGGCTTAAATTGATGGAATATCACAGAGTGATTGATGCAACATGTTAAAAGATGCATAGAAGCACTTAGATGGATGACAATTTATAGATCGTGTCGGATATGGATGTATTCGACAGTGATACAAAAGGCGTCGGGTTGCATGGTAATGTTAGAAGAATTGATCATATTTGAAGCAATTGTTTAGGCTACAACATCCCATACATATATGACCCACAGAATTCGTGGCGGCTCGCTGACAATCTAAAAAGAGATGCAAGCTTAACAGTGATTCCCTAATAGTGCAACAGAAGTAAGCCTCACAATATTAGAAGACATAGCCGCCAGAAGCACTCGAGACGAAATTAGTAGGATAGTGTATGCTAATTACATCAGACATGTAAAGCTACTCGACATTGTTTCCTAAAGCTTAAAGCTTAAAGCTAATATTTTTATTATCATCTACATGATCCTGTTCAAAACGATCACCTTTCGAGAACGTCACAAAACTTCATGGTTTAGGAATGTGTAGATTGCTTCGTCGCATGATTTATTCTGCTGAGTAACTCCAGTTTGACATTTGAGCTCGCTTCCGCGTCAACCCCATGGCCAAATTACCAAATTGCAATAAAAGGGCCTTAACATGCCCCGCAATACGCCGTGATGATACTAATTGTACAATAGGACAATGCCTTTCATTTCTTCGTCATTCATGTCAATTACTTTTGAGCGTTTCTTCCGAAGTTGCTGCAGTGCCAACGTCAGTATGGTTACCTGGGACGATGATGTGACAATTGTAACGTACTTGTGGAAGAACTGGCCAAAGAAGCCACTCTTGGGCGCCTGGTCTGACATACTCGCTCGGCGGGCAGCGCTGTCCTGAGAGCCACGCTTCTGTTCAGAGAGGCCAGCAAATGCGGGCATGAAGCCTGAGCTCTGTGGTTGAAACATCGTTAGTAAAAGGGTATAAGTGAGAGTGTGTATGTGGAAGACGTACTCGGCGACGACCGCTGACGTTGCCAGTAGCGGCACCAGTCTGGGGAGCACCGGAATCCATTATGATTGTTGTTTGAGAAGTAAAGGTGTGTTTAAGTGTTCGTTATGATCGTGGATATCCTTTGATGCAGGATGGACTCGTTGTAAGCAGTGTTGGAATGTCTAGTGTGGTTTGAAGATGAGAATGAAGGGAGAGAAGAGGAGGGGGACAAGGCGAGTTTATATCTACAGGAAGGAGGAGAGAGCCGAACAGACCAGCTCTTGTCGATCCCTAGACCTTGCTCCAACTCTTGCAGCAAAAGGGTAAGGGCGAGTGCAACTCTCTACGCATGTCTGGGCCTGGTCTCGCGTGCCACGGGAAGGGAAATCAAGCCAACCAGCCATCATCATACAGTACAGCAGCGGACTGACCAATAGAGACATTACTCAGTAAGCTTTGAGACCAAACGTGCTAGCCATCCTTTTTCGAGCTCTAGCTAGCCAGACCATGACAAAGGTGGCGTACCCCCCGTTCGCCTCAGACGAGTGTCTACTGTCACTGTCATACCTTTTGGCTGATGCGCGATGCTTGTCAGGGCGTTTCGATCGCCAGACGCTGGAACGGTTTCTTTGCAAATCTAGCGGTAACGGATAAAGCGAAGGATGTCCAGTGAGCATCATGACTTCTGAATCGGCACCAAGACGCTGATCTCTGCGGAGAAGGGGTCGAGTCAAGGCCCAAGCAAAGGTGACAGAGGTCACACCACCTTACAACTTGGCAGGGGAATTACAAACACCAGTAACTTTACGCGGGGAAGGACGCCACGGGTGTTTACTTTGATGTCCTCAAACTGCATCCGACAGATACAAATAGCTAACATGCATGCAGCGTTACATTGTACAACAGCCAAGAGGATCAATTGCCTTTACCGCAATGTTGCCTGATAAATCTGTCAAACAGTACATCTGACGGGTATGTACTCATAATCGCAATAATGATGAGGAATACACACGTCAAAAGCCGTTCTTGGGTCTTAATGACGAGGTCTGAAGTGGATGCGATGAGATGGGCTGAGATGCGATGTCGACGACACGCGAGGCGGGGCTCAAGGAACGTGGGGCCGATCAACTCTGGAGGTGGAGCTACAGACATTCAAAGCAAAAGGAAGGTGCCGAAAGCGGGGAAGCCAAGAGCCTCGAGAGCTCCATTCAAATGTTGAGTCCCAAATCATCCATCTCCATACAATCGAATACACAAGAACCAAGCACTCCGTCCACTAACAAAACAACTGCCGAATTGAACCGTCATGATGCAGGGTCCATAGACTATCAAATCGTGTGCGTAATTCAACGCAAAATTGCTTCCCTTCTAGTGGGGCGCCGTCTCTGAAACAAAACTTCACTGACGACACGACTCCATCTTAGACCTCGATTCCCGTCTCTAGTCAGGGTCCCTCCTCATCAGTCATCATCTCATCCGGGGACCCTTATTCTCAGATCCCAGATCCAGACCAGATCTAGTCTTTGACTCAGATCGAGGCTCATTCATGCTTGAAACTAGGTAACCCGTTATTTTTTTGTTAATCTTGTTTCGTCTAGTCATGATAGATACTGCACTGCCGATTGCACCAGGTCCCCCTCCCTAACTTAGATGCCGTCCTCTAATCAACCCAAAATGCGTCATTCGTATCTCTCTCTTTTTTCTTATCTTGCATATACATCAATGACTCAGAGGTCTTCTTACTCCTTCTCTAATCTCACCGCGGGGTTTCTCTCGATGAAGTTGAGATCGACCTTGTGGCCTAACAACTCTCTGATGTTGGAAATCTTGTACTTGATCATGGTTGGCCGCTCCAGTGAAAGACCCCAACCAAATACTCGCATATCCTTGGGTAGACCCATGGGCTCCAACATCTCAGGTCGGAACATGCCACTGTTTCCAATCTCAACCAGCTTGCCCAGGCCCTCGTGGTAGCTGAAGATTTCCATACTGGGCTCGGTGTAAGGGTTGTAGGCGGGCTTGAACTTGAGGTTGGTGATACCCATCTTGGCGAAGAAAGCCTCCATGAACTCCATCAGTCCACCCAGCGTAAGGTCGTAGTCAGCGATAACACCCTCTACCTGGTGGAACTCAGCCAAATGGGTAGCGTCCACTGTCTCGTTGCGGAAAACCCGATCAATAGAGAAGTATCGGGCAGGGGGTGGGCGGCCGTCAGGTCCCTTCTGCGCCGCTAGCTTGTAAAGCATGGCTGTTGAAATCGCAGTAGTGTGGGTTCGGAGCACCAATCTCTTCGTCTCCTCCGCTGACCAGGGGTACCTGTAACCAATTGATCCAAACTTCCCGTCTTGGTGGACCTGCTTGATGTTCTCCCAGTACTCCTCCGTGTTCTGTCCCTCCTCAGACCGCGGCGCATCACCGACAGCAGGGTCAGAGATGTAGAAAGTATCCTGGAGATCACGGGCAGGGTGCTGTTGAGGCACGAACAGGGCATCGAAGTTCCAGAAACCAGTCTCGACGAACTTGTTGGTGGGCATCTCCTCGAAACCCATCTCGAAGAAGATGGATCGGAACTCGTGTCGCACCTTGTTGAGAGGGTGCAGAGCACCAGCGTTTTGGTCGGCACCGAGGGCCTTGAAGTTGTAGGGCTTGAAGTTGGCCGTCTTCCACGATCCAGACGCAATCATATCGGCTGTTAGGTCGGTTTCCTCCTTGGTGATCTCCAGCGCAAACTTGGGTCCCTTTTCCATCTTGAAGCTGATGACCTTTTGCATCTTGATCAATTTTCGCTTTCGCAGGTCGGTTAGGATCTTGGGCTCGTGGGTTCGGGTCTCCTTGATCTTTTGGAGCTGGGCTCGGGTGACATCTTCGATCGACTCGGCCTGTGATATCCCGTTAGTTCAACCATTGTCCATAGACAAGATATAAAGGTCTGAATTACGTACAGTAGCGACAAGCTTTCCATCACTGCTCTTCTTAATCCACTTCTCCTTGAATGCTTTTCCCTGTCCAACCTTGGTCACAGTCTTGTCACCAATGGCCTTCTCCAAATCCTGGATCGACAACCCCTCCACAGCATTTCGCAGGGCTTCAAAAACACGCGCCTCGTGACTGCCGTGCTCAGCAATCTGCTCCGCTTCGGGTTCAAGAATAGCCTCCTCTCGGTCAATTGTCTCATAGGTGATCATAGATCGGGAGGCCAAACGGTCGAGAGAAGCCTTGATGTCCTGGAAGGCAATTGCAGGAAAGGCCTCTGATGAGAGGAGGGGACTCTTTTCCGATAGGGCTTGGAGAATCTGAGAGGTGAGATCCCCAGCGGGGGCAGAGCTTGAGGTCGTCATGATTGCAGACTTGTAGAGATGCGAACCAAGTCGTGGGTTTTGTTCTGTTGTCCTGTCCTTTGGTTCTTCGTCTGACTCACGGCGGGCAGAAATTATTTGGGCCGTTACAGTGCTGCATCGCCCACCAAAGCCCAGCCCGCCCACACGTCGATGGCGGGGTACTGGTACGTACCGTTTCTGAGGCTGAACTTGTCCCGCCATGGCCGGACCTTTCTTTATCCGGACTGGACTATGGCCGCCAGTATGTACCTGCCTGTCACACATGTAATCCCTGCAATCTTATCATGGGAGCTCACGTCGCCTCATGCATGCTTCAACAGTCACTTCCATTCATTCGAGTCTTGTTAGTCCAAGCTTCAACTTCACATAGCGCCAATCGAATCCATCTTGTTACAAACCATACATACAAAATCATTCGTTCAGGCTTTTATTACACTCATCAGCCGTTTGCGAAAAGGCCCATGATCCGCACGTGCTTCTCCTGGGCTGTCACCCTGCTCATGCAGAACTAGCTCTACAGATGCAGTTGCAGATGCAGATGACGATACCCGAGAATGAGCGACGATGCCTCGCCGAGCTCTACGGCGCCGAACGATGCTTCTCTGGCCGAGCCCGCCAACGCCTCGTCTGGCAGCCGCGTCACATGGGATCTGCCACGCGAGCAGTCGGGTTCGACTCGGGCTCGCGCTCAGTCACAGTCTCAGCGTCGCAAAAAGAAAAAGAATAGAAAGAAACGCAATCCCGGTTTAGCGAGGAAGTTGGAGTTTGTCACACATTTGCTCAAGAGTCTTGATACCCTGGTTTTTGCGGAGTTAAGTGCGTTATACTACATGGAGTACGTCCGATTGTCCTATTGACCATAACCGTATACTTATTGGGCTGTGCTTACAAGTGGTGTCTCTAGATGCTCAATGTTTCGATTCATTCTCAGGTCTGTTGGCCAGTACTTGTATCTCACGCCAAAGGACGAATCCTTCCCTTTCCTAATGCCTGCGAGTCCTATACATGTCTGTCTGGTTCTCATCCCCAATATCATCTGCATACTTCTACATGTTTTGGTCTCGTTACCAGTCGGGCCAGACTTCCACCGAGGCTACATGCATGGCGGCTTGGTCGTTGACTTTATAGGTCAAAAGCCTCCAACTTCTCGTTTTTACTATGTTTTGGCAGATGTGGTGATACTTGCCGTTCAATGTTTGATGTTGACGGTGCACACTGAGCGAGAGAGACTTCGAGTGATCCTCAAGACCTTCAGACCCATGGTGCCAGACATGGCCCAGGAAACGACTCCCACGATAGAAGACTTGGACGCTGAAGAACGTGGGGTATCTAGGGATATGGCCGGCACATTACCAGTCGACGAGGAGGAAGGCATTGAATTGCAACCCCTGAATCGTGTCAGTACAACTGAAGAAGGCAACTCGACTTCGGGAGAGTCAGAGCCATCTGCTCGAGAGCAGTCTGCCGATGAACCTACGAGATCGAATCTGTCCGACGTCTTGAGTTCTGGAAATGCCGTCATTGGCGAGTATCATGTTCTTCACTCGCTTCATAATGCGGCATTGAACATAGAAAGAACAGCTGCATATTCTCTACGCACAATTGGCTACGGGGCAACCATGGCTTCCATTGAAGCGAGAAGGCGAGCCACCCTCAATGTGCCAGCGCGAGCGGCCCAAAACGATAGATAGTAATAGCATAAAGGCTTGAATTATGGTTTTCATTAGGGTCCAGCGATATTTTATGATAGGTTAATAGAGTCACAAATGATATTTTACACAACAGGGCCTCCTTGAGGTATCAGGAAAATGAGCCGCTGAGAACATAAGAGACAATGTGCAGTTCACCTTATTCTCAGACAAGCCTCCTGGGTTTTTTATTACTCAAGATTTGGGAGATCAAATTTTCTTTCTGCAACTCACTAGAGCGTCGTGTCCGATGAGAACAGGCAATGGTCTTTGATTTGCGAAACTTGAACAGAAATGTATTACTCTTGACTTTCACGCTATCTTTCTTCCAACATTGCCAACGCCAGTACCCTTAACTGAAACAATAATGTCATTCGTATCGTCTCCAACATCCCTCAAACCCCAACTGCTCGCGCCAAATGTCCTCAGGTCTCTCGCGAGGATAACCATCTCCTCGTTTCCAAGCACCTCCCGACCAATCCTAAGACGGCCCACATCCTCTGATCCCATAGCCATAAGGATGAGCATCGTCTTTGCCGAAACCTGGGTAGCACAGCCACCTTGTGAGATGTTTTCGAGCAGTTGGTAGGCGCACTGCTTGCCAATGTCCTCAGGGACGACACCACCCTGAGCCGGCACAACGACATCTGCTGAGTAGAGAACACCGACAGCACTTGATTCGGCCACCAAGCTCAGACCAAATCCAATTCCGAGACGCCTCTTGCTTCCTGCCTTGTCACCTGTGGGCACCAGAGGTGCCTGGTCGTACTGCGCAGCGATATGGATGTCAGGTACCAAGGAGTTCAAGACCTCACGAGCTGAGTGAATCATGCGGGCATTGTTAGAAGCAGACACTCCAGTGCAGTATGCGACACCGCGAATGCGCTTTATTCGACCGGGGCTTCGGTTGAGATGCAGAGTCTTTGGTAATCGCACTTGGCTCGCGAATCGCAGCTCGACGCAGCCACCGCCGCCCTTTCCACCAGGTCCAGCGCAAGATCGCTGAAGAACCCTGAGTTCTATACGTGCGGGAGGGATTCCGTACAGGGCGAAAAGAGGAAGAATAGCCGTTCGGAATGAATCGACCGAGATGTCGCCAGTCTCAGTAGACGATGTGATGACACCGGGTCCTGTAAATCTAACGTTCATGTGCGCTTTAGAGAAGGGTGCCAGCAAGCACAAAGGCATAAGGAAGTAAGAGATTCCGCGAGTGTTGTTGACAGATATGTTGTGGTTGATGACATCGCCATCAGAGGCGCCAAACCCAGCGATAGTTCCGGTAATCAGGCCAGGGTGATATGTAATGGTTGTACCAGTGTACGAGATCTGCATTGAGCTGCCATTGGTGACAGCCTCGAGGAGGCGCAAGAAAGAAATCTCATGGGGAGCGAGACCAGGATTCGTAGGTGACGAGCTTCGGATCTTGGCGATATGAATCGGTCGACCGGTGAGCGTCGACAGAACCAAACGCTGCGTAAAGGACCGATGTCCTGAGAATCGGAGGAATTCTGGCGTAGAATTCGACATTTTGCTGCTGTTTGGCTGGGTATCTTGGGAGTCGCAATATTTCCAGCCCGCCGCCAAAGTCCAGACAAAAATTAATTTTCTGCCACCGGAAAAGTTGCTGTTGTACTTAAAAAGAAGGCGGTGAGACTGGCCTCTCCAAATTCTTTTGTAAGTGGCAGATTTACAGGCACATCTTATCGATAACTACTAAAAAAGGTTCGACATTCAGTCCCTCCAAGCTTCAACTTCACATTGGCGCCTTATGAATTGAAAATTGAGAATGGCGGGCCGACCGCTTTTACGAGAGCTACGATCCAGCAATGATACAATATGTCGATCCTGCCGTCTGGCGATACGACAACGACCTACACAACGAATAGCGGCAGCATATAGTACCAAATCCACAGCGAAACAGTACATCGATGATGATGCAACACGGAAACCTACCAAATTCGAACTCAAACAGTACATTGACCGAATAAAATCTCTTCGGAGCCCAAGCAAGGATGATAAAGAGTCGTTCAGCGTGCGATTCTTTGAACAAAACGACAACAAAAGGACAGAGCTTTTTGGCGAAGAGGCTTTTGACGACTCACTCAATGAAGTGGATACATCAGGCTTGAAGGAAGCTCTGTTGGAAATCAAGGACGATATCGGCGGAAAAGACGAAAAGGCTGCTTTCCAAGATGTGGTCGATCAACTGGGCAACGAATGGCATAGAATGAAGTCGGCAGATGACCTAGAAAGAATTATTGCAAAGTTGGATGCATATACCGCTGCGATCGATAAAGAAATCGACAAAACTGGTGCAGATTTACCAAAGGAGCTGTTGGAGAAATTGGATACAGAACTTCCAGGACTGCCCGGCCTTGGATCTCTTGGTTCTCGAGTAACGTTCCCTCAAATTCCAGAGAAGCCGTGGACGAACAACCAACGGAGGAAGATCGCTCGTCTCAACACTGTTCTATCTCAAGTCGCCAGGAATTATCGCAGGGGTATCAAGCTTAATACCAAGACAGTACAAGGCGTGTACAAACACTACCACTCAGCTAGACTCTCTCTTGCCCACGGCTGGAGTCATGTCCCTCTTGAAGTTTGGGATTTACTATGGAAGATATTTTCAGTAGATGAATCCGTTAACATCCATCGCCTTTCACATATCGCACTTCTTGCTCGCGACATGAGCGAGGCCAGAGTTACCCTGAATCCCGCTCAGCAGCTTTTAACAATCGAGGCTGTGTTTGTTGATGGGTGGGAGTCGAAGGCCATTGAGAACTGGAAGCGATGCATGGGCACGTTGGGCGACGAAAACGCTGAGACATTTCAAGAGTTCTGGGAGCTTGGTGTGAGAATGTACTGTCGCACGGGCGATCTAGACCAGGCGCAGCGAGCCATTGGCAAGCTGATCCAAAAACAATCTGATCCTCGAATCCTGATGCCTCTCATCCGGACGTGGTCTGAGCTTGGTACAGAAGACGGCAAGGAGAAAGCTTGGGTAGCATACCGTCAACTGCGCGAGCTTCTGGGTGAACGCATGGAGCTCGCCGACTACGACCAAGTCATATCCTATTTCCTGACTACGCACCAGACCGAGAACGGCCTATACGCTTTCGTTGACATGATGAGCGATGGCAAGATCGACTTGAAGCAGCAAAAACGCCTGCCTTCGGTCGTGGGAAACAAGTTCTTCTTTGGAAAGTGGCTGAAGAGATTGATTGGTGCGGGCGACTTGAACGGAGCTCACAGCGTCGTAGAGTTTATGGGCCAGAAGTGCATCGAGCCAGCTCCTGTTCAACTGAACGGTCTTATTGCAGCATGGCAACGTGCGGGAGGTGTCGAGGACCTCGAGAAAGCGGACAAGATGGCTTGGGGCATGATTGACACTCGAATTGAATTCGTTAAGGCCAGGAAAGAAGCCATGGATTCACAGGATGAGCCCCCACGCAAGGGCAATCCTCAAACTCTACCACGAGCAACGCTGGAGACCTTCTCACTATTGGCAGAGAACTACCGTCTACGAGATTTGCACGATCGCATCCTCATACTCTGGGATGCCTTCCGCGAAGCGGAGATGAAGGCCGACTCATTTGTCATCAACCAACTTCTCGAATCATACATTCAAGCAGGTCAATTTCAACAAGCCTTGGAATTATACCAAACGCTCGTGGTGGAGAAGGGCGTCGAGCCTGACCCTTTCACGTTTAGCGCACTGTGGAAGACCCTTTCTGTCAACCGACTGCACACCGCAGCTGGCCCTATCGCTGGTCAGGTCGAGCAAACCCGAGCTATGTTTGCCGAGACAATCAAGTTTCAGCACATCTTTCTGCCTGACGGTATGGACGGTCAGCTCGCTCGCAAGATCCTACACACATTCCGTCGTATCAAGGATAACGTCGGTCTTGTTGTGGCGTTGACGACCCTTCGAGAGGGGTTTCGCTTTCTTCCTCCCGAGACGCTTGTCCTTGAGATGGTTCTTGAAACAACGAAATTAGCATGGGATTCTCCCACCCATCGACGCCGTCTCACGAACGCCAAGCGCGATCTCGATCGAAACCTCGCCGCTTCGGCTGGTGGCAATGGCTCAAGCCTCGAAAACGAGCGTCGTGCTGAAGCTCTGTTCGAATACCTGCAGAGACAGTACTGGCCTACTGAGGGTGACGAAGCTTACAAGTCAAAATTATTCAAAGAGGCGGCGGCGCAGATGGGAGTGTACGATTTGTTGAAAAAGAGTGTAAAACAGTAAAATAGGGGAGCATTATAACGGCGCTTAGGGAATCACGAACCATCTCCTGACGATATTGGAACATGTATATTAGCATAGAAAGGGCCATGTCATGCCTGTGGAACGAGATACAAAGTCATCTCAAGGAATAACTGGTAGAGGAAGCCGCATTCGAAGTACTCGCTGTCGCATATAATCGTGACACTCGGCCCTCAGGCTAGAGTAAGCTATCATTTCAAGTAGTGCTCTATCCCAGTTCATAGTAGTCCATAATCTCTCTCCTTGTTCTCAGTCCTATTCTCATTTTTCCATGTAGAATATGGAGGCGATCTCCTATACCTTGAAAGGATTGCTAAGTCAAGGTAGTTCAATTATCTCATTGTTTTCAAGTTGTTTGCCTACTGACATAGGTATATGTAACATCCCGTTCTCAACTTGTTTTGTCCCTTCTTTCGATTCAATTTCCTCCTTGCGCCGTAGCTGCGAATGCAGAGGCAGCCTCCAGGTCGGGATAACAGTACGGGTTTGTAGTTGGCTTTGATTGTGTTGATGGCAATTATGCTTGACTAAGAAAGAGTTTGGGTTCCCTCAACATGCAATCAAATGGATTGTCAGGCTCGTTGCATGAATTCCTTACGGCTGCTTGGCCGGCAATCCGATACAAACAAGAGGTGCTGAGTGATTCACTGTCCCTCGCATCCCTAGATCTACGGATATAAATATCACGCCGACCTATCCCAATCCCTCTTCTCTTTTCCATTTCCTACACCTTATATATACACACACATATATACACAGTGACTTGCCTCGTCGATTACAGACACAAAGAGGCTACGAACATCAGGTCCGACGGGCTGGACCTCGACGGCACATGAGCCCGAGGAAGAGTCCTGCCTTGCTACTTTTCCTTCTCTTTGTACCCTTTGCGACCGTCGTCACTTGTCATCACTACTGAATTACGTTGTCTAAACCAAATCTTCCCTGTTCATCAATGCAATCCCCCATTCCGGCAAACTGGATACAGAATAAGAGAAGACCGTCGATTCTAGTATCTTCACAAGGGCATGCTCACAAGTGAACATTCGCCTCCTTTCGGTAAAGTCATACCAGATGATGTACAGATCTATGCTAGCATCGTTGCAGTTTATATCATCAAGCAACATCATCAGGTGCATAAGACCTGACCTTGAACTAGGCATGACCGGCCCTTCAAGCCGATTCGATGATGGCCGCGTCGCCGAAGGTCAATCTGGTAACGACGGTAATGAAGAAGACTACGACTGTGACTACTACCACTACGATTACTATAACTACGATTACTATAACTACGACTGCGACGATGAAAATGATGGCGACTATGAAGATGAAGCCGAAGACCACGACAACCACGGCTATGACCACGACCACAATAAACAACAGGAAGTCGCCCAGGGAAACGACGACGGTGACGGCAACGATGACGTAGAAGAACTAGACGACGAGTTTGAATATGTCGTTACTGACATGCAAGGCCATCTTTGGTTTCAACCATGGGCACTTCCAAAGCTCAGGCGCCAAAATAACATCCTTGACTGGCATTCTCGTCATGAGGCATACGAACCTCTCTGGGCCGACAGCGAGATAGAAGACGCCTATTGCATGGCAATCGAGAAGGTCTCTGATTTCAACAACCTTCCGCTTTGGTCTGGGGTTAGCTCGATGGAGAACGACGTCGTTAACGACGACATTGATTTCGATTTACATCTTGACAAGAACGTCTACACCACTACCGACGTACGTTCATTCGAAGAAGCCCAGAAGAAGTTTAGCTTCATCCGCAGACACTTGTCCGATGTCTACGAGGTCAACCGCTTCCTTCGATCTGCAAGTCCATCGAGTGTCGAGATCTTCAAGAAGATTACCCAGGGGTACGACATCGTCCTTCTATCACCGGCGACGAGAAACAGATCAAACACTTTCCATTATCGCGACGTTGTATTTCAAGAGGCACTCGAGTTCATGTCAACCTTGCCAGACGAAGTCCAGTCTCAAGCGAAGACCAAAATGGCTAAGATCCAGTCGGACCTGGAGTACACTGACGAAATTTCCAAACACGTCGTCCAGGCCATGCAATACCATGAAGCGATCACCGACCATAGCCGTCGTAACCTCGACAATGTAGTTTCATTCACCCGACAGACGATCTCCCGGAATGGTTTCTCCAGCCTCTATCCCACCGTCAAGTATACTGCGCTACCTGCCCAGGATATTCAATTCCCTACACACACGACGTCGTCTGCATCTGAAAACAAAGGGGGTGAAAGGAAATCTGACGCATCCCCTCTCTTGGGACCATCAAACTTTGAAAGCTTCCATGAGTGGCTTGAATACTATATATCAAAAAATCCATTTGAAGTTCCAGACGCCGACAACAGGGTTGATTCATGAGCAGAAGAACTTTCCAGTTGACTCGGAACCTGGAAGTAGAAACAGACAATGACTTTTATAGTACCTTTAGGGCATATTAAGTAGAAATTGACAACCTTTCCCCTTAAAATGCTACCACAAGTGAGACATAGTGTACTAGACCCGACAGTCTTGTTTGTGTATTCAGTCACGACGGCTCTCACAATGGCTCAAGGGTGATGGTTCATGGACAGAATACGGCCAGACAAAGGACAGAAAAGACACGTATAGGTGTTAACCTAGCTATCACTAAATCAATTTGAAACCGTAGTCTGCCAGATTTCGTCTTCTTTATTGTTTGAACTAAAATATAACTTGATACTCAAGGAAGGCCAAGATACTTCTTTTTGTTCCCTTGCTCAATCCTCCTTTCCTCCTTGAAGAACGCCATCGCTATGCAAAACAAACCAATACCTAATCACTATTGTCCCTCCCTGTTATCACCTCAAACCCCATAGTTTCGCCGCGTCCGGCCCTTTAGATCTGAGAAGAGCTGGGTGTTTCCTCTCAAGACAAGTCCATCGTGTCGTCCTGGTCTATGCGGTCGCCTACAGAGCTGAGACCTGAGTCATCGTCGCTAGCGTGACCGTTTTGTTGGGGAGCTTGCTGCTGTGGAGGTTGGTCTCTGTCCTCCTGTTGGTCTTCACCAGGTGTCGGGCTGCTCTGTGGTGACGCGCGGTTGGAAATCCATTCTGTGATTGTAGTCTCTGGGCCACCTTCAACTTGGATCTCGCCTGTGTCGTGTCCGCGGCCGAGTATGGTTCCGTGGTACTTTGCGTCCTCGCCAGTTTTGCTGTGTTTCTTCTTGAGAGCTGTGAAGGCTTGTTGTCAGTACAATTCCTGGATGTACAACGTTGCAGGACTTACCATTAAGATAATCTGTAGCATCTGTTTCACCGTCTCCGCTGCCAACCTCCATCATATCCTTCATGCGCTGTCCAGCGAACCATGCTATGAACTCTTCCACTCCCCGCAAATCCTCCTCGCCGCGCCACATCTCCTCTGAGGGAACGCGCTCTGGCATGATGGCGCCGGCGTCCTGTAGTGCCATTCGTATATCCGCTATAGTGAAGTCGGCGCTGTCGCCTTGATTGTGAGCGGCATGGTCGGCGGTGCTCTGGCAGAGTAGCGACAGGTATCGAGCCGCGAGGTCGGTCAGGGAATCAAGCACGGCTGGGCGTGTCGAATGGTAGCCCGTAGAGCGAAGGATTTGGAGGATAGAAGGGCGAAGGAGCGCGTGAAAAAGAGATGGTGGCGTCGTCATGTTTGTATGGAATCTGATGGGTCCTCTATTTTTGTAGATGAATTGATTCGTTTCTGTTTGGGCGCTCAGCTTGCGATGTTGTAAATCTTCCCGTTTGGAGCTATTGGATTCGTTCGTTTCGATGTCGCGGTAGCTGAGCTGAGCTTGGTTCGGCCGTCATCGAGTATCCTGGGAGAGGAGGACCTCGCAGCGCATTATCCGAACAACGCGCCTAGCAATTGTTCGAGAAATATGTGAAAGCTGCTTGCGATGAAGCTTCTTAATTGTTTGAAGTTGGCCCAAGCCCGTTTGGGTGAAGTGCAGATCAGAGAATAGTAGCTTGCCAAACGATAGCCCGATAATGAAAAAGAGTGGAGACTTGCTGCCTCCATAGAACTTGCTGCAGCACATAATGCCAAGAGTTAATGTGTATAACAGGACAACCTACAGAATAACGAATCAATAGAGGTTTAATGATTACACATATAGTTGCAGTTTCGATTATTGACTATATCGTTCTTGTTGAGACCTCTGGGGATGACGAGTAACTCTTTAACTCTCCCAACCCCGACTTCTTATCATGAGGAACGGCGTACAATACTCTTTACATTAATATTTGTTCACTCAGATAAAAAGTGCCACAACGAGTCGTTCAAGTCTCTTCAGCAAACTTGTGTTTGCATGGAGGTTCTACGTGCTACCATATCATTATCATCCTACTGTTGACGCTATTTCCTAATCCAATGTGTGATGACGCTGTGGTTATAATAGCACGATGCCCCCAGCTACTCAATGCATTCAGAGGTCGTGCCCCGATCGCGACTATTTGTATCTATATGGACATCTCCTCAGCCTTCTCCTCCAGGTTCCCCTCGTCAGAGATACCACTGTACTTGTTGATCCATTCCAGAACCTCCCGATGCCATACAAGTGAATTCTCAGGCTTCAAAACCCACTACATCAACCATCAGTAAATAGTCCAGTCAATTACAACAGGTTAAACTTACGTGGTTCTCATCGGGGAACATGACAAACTTGCTTGGCACCTTGCGAGCCTGTAAAACGTTGAACATGGCCAGTCCTTCTGAGATAGGCAATCGGTAATCGAGTTCGTTGTGAATGACCTGTAATACGGTTACAATATGTTCAAACGATCGGCTTCCTTCTATACTTACCAGCTGAGGAGTGGCCCAGTTGCCAGTGTGTCGAGATGGATCCCACTTCTCATATCCAGCGCGATTCTCCCAAAGTGTTCCGCCAAAGTCGTGCTCAGGGAAGAAGAGCTCTTCAGTAGACCATTGACTTTGAGTCGAGAAAACACCATCATGGCAAACCAAAGCCTTGAACTTTCGTCCCAGGTCATGTCCCTGTATCCAATCTACCCACTTGTTAATTCCATACAGTTTCACAATGCAGCATCAAAACTCACTAATCATGTATCCGCCATACGAAGCTCCCAATGCAACCGCACGGTCGGTGTCCACGTAATCGACATGCTTCTCGAGGAACTCAAAACACTTCACCAGATCATCGTACGGGGCGCCTCCCCAGTTTTTAGCAATGGCATCAACATGAGCTTGCCCGTATCCGGTGCTGCCAGTTGGGTTGGGGCAAACTGCTACATAACCCTGTTCAGCAAAGATGGCAGGGTTCCAGCGAGTGCTCCAATCGTCCGTCCAAGCTGATTGCGGTCCACCGTGGATCAAGAAAGCCAACGGATACTTCTTGGACTTGTCAAAGTTGGAAGGAAGCATGACCAGAGCATGGTTGTCGTAACCAGTCGAGCCAGGGTACCAGATTTCTGTGGCCTGAGACTTGGACAGACCGAAGGTCTTGCCATTCTTAGAGCTGGCTGAGATCACCTTGACTGACTTGGACTCAGGGTTCAGGATGCCGTAGCTAGAATTCTCGACACGCGATCGGGTTGTTATAAAAAGGGAGTCACTGTCAGCTAGAGTGTGAGCTTCCACAACGCTCCCGTCTTCGTGGATGGGTTCGGGCAGATTGCGAGCTTCAAGTGTGTCAGCCGGTAGTTTCCAGAGCATTGATCGCCCATGCTTCTCAGCCGCGACGTATAGCTCCTTATCGTCTTTTCTCCAAACAATCCAGTCAGGTCTCAAATCCCAACCACCCTCGTCATCATCTGTCTGGTAAAACTCTTGAACGTTGCTCAAATCGGTGACATCAGGAATCATCAAGAGTCTGGTCTTGTCGGATTCATACTGCTGATTCTTCATTCTGGCAAATGCAAGCCTCTTTCCATCGTTTGAAAAGGTTGGCGCACTGCTGTATCCCCGCAGTCGTCCAGTTTTAACAATCTGGGGCTTAGGGGCCTTCTCTGTCCAAGACTTGATAGGCACGTAGTAAAGATCAGTCTTGGTGTTTCGTGCCGGGTTCAGCTCGGGATCCTTTGAAACGAAAGCAATGCCATTCTCGCAGATATCAAAGTCTCCAGCACCACCAAAAGGAGGGACTGGAGAGCTTAGCTTAGTACCTGCTAAGAGGTTGGTGAGGCTCGAATTCTCAAGTAGCCATCTGTCGTTCTTTTTGGCGAGCACACCGTACCAGAGTGAGTTCTGGTTTTCGGTGTTCCATGCATCCCAGTGGCGAACAAATAGGTTGGTATAGATCTTGGCTGAAGTATACGTCTTGGGTTGAGTCGCTTGCCAATACATATCTCCTTTAGGGGTAGTCAAGGAGGAGCAAACGAACGCGATCTTGTCCTCCGAGAGAACCTTGGTCTTCGGATTGGAAATACCTCCAGCAAAATACTGAATCATGCGCGGCTCGAACTTCTCTAAAACGTGTGCATAGTAAAGCGAAGAAATGCCATTGTCATTTGTCCTGATAAAGGCGACTTCTTCCTCTCCGATCCAGAAGGGAGAGCTGTCATGCGCGGACTCAGTGATGACATGAGAAGAATCATCCTTAATGTTGAGGACGCGGATCTGTGACGAACCAGAGTGTTTCTCGAACGAGTAGGAGGAGATCTAACATAAGGGACGAAATTATTAGGTCAGTTTATGCTACTTAGGTCAGACTTCAGGCTGTTCATTTTTGTATCCTAAAGCTCCAATGCCAAATTTTCTGATAGATGCCCTCTAGATTGACTTACAGTATAGAGAACAAGCTCGCCAGTGGAGTTGGGGACGCCTGTAGAACGGCGCGGGGCCGAAAGCAGCACCTCGGGGGTGAACCGGGTGGCTTGTCTCGTCATCTTAGAGATGGTATCCAGGATGAGGGATGATAGTAGTCGATAAAGATAAAAAGTAGTTGAAGTGAAGGTATTAGGAAAGATTGAAGATAGGAAAACCAGGGAGCGTTTTGTACAATTGAACTGTACCTCCCGCCCCCTCTCGCTCTTGTTGCTGTTGTTGTTGCCGTTGCCGTTGCCCACTCGGCCCCTCCCTTCCGCTGAATCCACCGCTCGTGCTACCTTCCTTTACCATGGTACTTTTTAACTTCTACTATACCAGGAGAGAGATCGACATCAAGGACAAGATACTGCGTTTAGTGTTCAAGATTTTATTGCAGGCTTTCTAGAAGTCGAAATCCTTCTCTACTAATTTGCTCAATAATATCCAATCTCACCACCACCACCATCACAATCATCTATACGATCACATCCATACTCGTCCGGTGCCTCTCCAAATGAGTGAGACCCCGCATGAAACCACGTCCATGTTCGTTAGGGAATAAATAAGCCTTGAACAACGTCAGCTCACCATAGTCTAGCCCT